CAGTCACAGACCCCCTCCTTTCACCTGTATACTACCTGTTGGTAAAGGGGAGTCGGTGACTCAAGCCTCAATCACATTTGCTCTACGGCAGTCGTATGGCAATTGTAGCTTCATAAAATCGATATAAAAAATCTACATCGTACTGCTTGCCCCTATATTTTATGCTGCATATTTATCTAGATTTTGGGAAGATACTGCCACCATACTGTTGCCGAAGATCAAAGGTGACTGAGGCTCTAGTCTCACAGTGGTAAATGATAGGTATTTTTACTTACCAGGCTCATGGAACTGTAGGCCCTGTTTTAACAAGGACAGGGTCAGCGAAGGTGATATATAAATCCACTGTCACGTGTCAAATATGCCCTGTATTGATATAGAACCTAGCCCTGCTTTCTGTCAATAGCCCTGTAGTTTATGAATAAGCCCTGGCCCTGGTTGTAGATCCTACACTAAGCACACACACTATACACACTGGATAACTGAAATCCTGTCACCTCCTCTCCAGATATACAGCAACACAACTCAGTTGGTAATAGCAAGCAGGCTGCTATATTAGCCAATAAATTATGAAGCAAGCCAGGAGGGAAATGACTGAGTGGCACAATAATACATTACAGAAGCAATAGTATAGAAACATTCATTCAAGATGATAGGCAATACCATGCTAGTATTGACTATTGACTGAATACATAGAAAAAATCACTTTATGATTTACAAAGGGATAATACATTAAAAAAGATTGATTTTTTCAAACAAGATCCATCCCGGATAGTATTGACCAAGATGTAGCATCCTATACTATTTTATTACCCTTAGCCAGAATCTGACTACATCTCCCCTCTTCAAATTACAAATCATAATAGATCTGGCCTTAATCTAAACTACATTTTATGCTAATCTGTAACTTATATTAATTTCACATTAAAACTCCATTAAAATCCATAAAAGATACATTAGAGATCATAAAGATCCCATAGAATATAATAGTCAGAGGGGAGGGTGATTTCCCCACCTGAATACAGGGTTATATATTATTTATCATGTTCATAATGCTTCAATCAAAGGCTGCTAATCAACACAGATATATCCTGGTAATTAAATTATTAAAGCTAGCTACAAACTTGATACAATCATTGCTAGATGACATAATTAGCATATACCTCTTATAAAACACTATTAATATGCAAAAACATAATAGAGAAAATAAAGAACGCAATGTGGCCTCATTAAAAGATCATAGGCTATGCTATAAGGCTATGTTAAGTTTTGTGAAAACCTCGAAATGAGCATTGCCACGCCCCTTTTTTTTATCATGTTTGCAACAAAAACTACATGGAATGTTACTGTATTTACTTGGAGAAAATTATACAAAGTGTAAGATAATGGTGTGTGGAAGCAGTGATTAAACATTTTTTAAGGACAAATGGTGAAATCTCCTACTATTGAGCCCAGGGGATAGAACTACTGTACTAACAAACAGAAAATCATTAAAACTAATGCCATTTTTTGTACAGTTCAGAATTGGTCAAAAATAACTATAATTGTGAAGAATCTATGGGAAACTATGTGGCTCATGACATTTTTTTCACATTCGATAAAAAATAAAACTGAAATCAATATTTATGTTTAATCACCTGACACCAACAAACACAGGCCACAATTATATTACAAATGACAAAAACTCTAATCTGTATCGGCAAAGATATAACTAATTATGCTAAATGTTCTTCTTAGAGACTGAAAAAATGCAATTATCAATTAATGATAAGCCAGCGTCATGAAAAGCCGAAGAATTATCAATATGCTAAGAATACAAACATAAAGAAACTATAATTATATAAATTAATTGATCTAGATGCGACAGATTTCGTTCAATACTTACTTCCTGCTGCCACTTTCAATTAAGCCGTCGCTATTCTATATTTCATTGAATTCTCGTCATTTCAGAATAAAAAATCACATTGAAGAGTGACAAGCATGTAAGAGCTCGGAACTTTGTAAATCTGTAAGACTGAATATGACTGAACATATTAATTCATGATTAATATATTTCAGGATGAAATTTCTATTATCAATAGTTCTGATTAAATATTAATTGTTTTTCATTGTTCAAAAAAGGTATAAAAAACCGAATCATTGACCCTTTTGACAATGAAAAAAGTGTTTGTTTGTTATTTATTCAAATATAGCTAGGCAAGGTGTATCTGATTCCAGCCAATCAGAACACAGTATTTCATATATCTGAAGTGCATTATATAACAAATCACCGCATCTTTGATCATTCCTTATGTGGTTGTCAAGATGACAACTTGACGTTACAGAATGAAATCGATGGTTTGCCGACTTGACCCTTGCAAAAAGTTTCAGCGCATCCCGTGCAAATTTTTGGAAGCAACACCTTCAAGGAATGGTCATTCCACATTGCACCGAGTCAAGGGCTTAAATCCTTAAACAATTCATGATAAAAAAATGGGACTTTACAAGTAGATTGATATCTTGTTGTTCAATGATTTAAACCGAAGGCATTTTTTCATTATTTTTTTAAATAATGTTTGAGTACTACTGTTTTTATAACTGTATGTCCAATGCATTAGTATTGATCTGATTGTAATCTCAAGCATATTTGACCACAGATTCATTAGATGAAAAAAAAAAACCATTTACCCTATTTCTTGTTCGAACAAAATTACCCAAACACTAAAGAAGCAACTTCACTTTGAAACACTGAAATGCTCCTTCTTAAAAAGTAATTAGGCACATTAGATAATGAGGAAATCAGTGAGCAGTATAGATGATGCTATCTTTTAAGAAGCTAAGTTAAACAAATGCAAGGGTACAGTATGAGCTATAGGGACTGGATACTTATCACAATAATTCAAGGGGCCTTCACCAGCAGGCTCCTATCTACTGGTTGAATGGCCACATTGGCACGTGCCCATTAAATAATACAGTTACCAACTGTTACGGGACAATCATCACTGCAAATTGCCATATCATTATCAAGCATTCACCTTGGTCATCAGCTCCCCTGGGCTCAGGCCCGTAGCCAGGATTTGCCAAGGGGGTTCACTTTTTGAAAAATTCCACTTTTGACAATTTTGGTCCAAAATGGGGGGGGGGGGTTGTTCACTCAAACCCATCAAATCCCCATCCCCCTGGCTACGGGCCTGGGGTTTATGGCACACCAGCTCATAAAATATACCTAATCAGTTTATAAAGAAAAAAGAATCCAATGTGATAAAGACTTCTATCTTGCCTCTGGATTCTCCCCCAAAGGGGAGGAGGAGAGGGGCACAAGGACAATCATCATTGCAAATTGCCATATCATTATTATCAAGCATTCAAATTGGTCATATCCCCTGGGCTAATGGCATTCTATTCAGTATTTTTACACCAAATTTTGACAAGTTGTTCTAATGTGATAATCCTTGCTAAAAATTGTATTTTATTGATAAAATCTAAGGTATGGGTGTCAAGGGTATAGGTTTATTGCAGTTTTTCCCTAAAAACCACCCTTACTTTTCCTCTATACAGTATATAGTTGTACAGTTAAACAGTTATACAGGAGTACAGGATCTAGTATGAACTTTTTTGGCCAGATATGTCTTTAACAAATTTTGATTATTTCTATTTATCTAACAAGCACTATGCTAATCATTTTACTGAACATTCATTATTTGTACTCTTAGTGATCGATAAAGCTGCTGCTGAAATGTACTTTCCTAAAAACTAGTTTCTCTTTCATACATTGCTTGCCAGAATATAAGGAAAGGAAAAAGTAGACGTGGACTTAACAAGTCAAAAATACAATTTCATCATTTATGAATATAATATAGAACTTACCTTAGGTCCACATATCATTGAAATTTGTATTTTTTTCGTCTTAGCTTTAACTCGTTTACATTAAATCTCCTTAAAACCTTATAAAAATAAACTGAACACAAAACATTTCTCAATATAGAAATCACTCAGATAAAAATCAAGGAAGTAAGAAAAATATTTCGAAATATTTGCTTTTTAACTTCTAGTCCCCATATATTGCCTTATATGAGGTTACTATGACCTTGACCTCTCTTTGTCAGAAACTATCAATTTATCAAGAAAAGCAAAAAATAAGTCTATCTTACTTAGATTTAATTATTTTTTATTAGAATATATTTTGATAGATATTATGAGACACAAATGTATAGTAAGACATGTTTTAATATTTTTGTTTATAGCTCTTTAATGTTTATTTGATCAATTGACTTTTATGTGTGTTTTCCTTTGAAATTCTCACCAGCAAAAACTGTTCTGTAAAAACTCATTAAAATCTGATATTCTATACTTGAGGAAGTATTTTGAGTTCCAGACAGTAAAACCTAATATCACTTCTCAATAAAACACTTTTTCTCAGTCCCTATTTTGTGACTCCCATTGACCACCATGTTAAAAATTGAAATGTGAACACCTGTTTATATGAACACTTTTGGCTGGTCCTAGTGGCATTCAGACTAGACTGGTTTTACTCTATTTTCACATTAATCCTAAGTGAATACCCCTCCTAATAAAAGATACATTTTCAATGCAAGGTACCCCTTCAAGGTACCCAGATACCCTTTACCTTGCCTCTGAGAGAGAGAGTGAATAGGAGAAGGTTCTAGATGCAAGACATACACAAGGCTGATATTGGTAAAGGGGCCCTGAGTCAAGATAAATGATCCTAATGCTAGATTATGTATCATTGTCCTACTTACATGACAAACAAGAATATGATCTTTTGATCAGCGTGCGTCATAAGCATTATAGACAGGCTGGTCAAAGATGAACCATGGATAATTGCAATGTAATTTTCCTAAACATTCAGAAAAAGTAACCGGGCCAAGACCAAAAGAAACGGACTGCTCAGAACCCCCTGGAGTCTGAACCAGTGCTTGTTTTGAACTCTGCTCTTGATATCAAACATTTTGACTGTCTTAAATACTATTACACACGTAGTAAATGAATAAATCACAACATACCTGTGCCCCAATTTGCTGAACCTGGAACTGTTGTTGTAGCTGTTGTTGTTGTTGTTGTTGTAGCATAAATTGTTGTTGCGGAGATGTGATAACTTGAGGGGGGTAGATCTTAACTTTACTTTGTCCCTCTAAACCATTACTCCTCTGAACATTTACCCCCTGAAAAGAGCAATAATTATTTCTGTACAATAACATATTTTTCGAGATCAATAAGGTAAGATTTTACAGGCCCGTAGCAAGTGGGGTTCGATGGGTTCGAGCGAAGTGATTTTGTCCATTTTTGGACTAAAACTGTCACAAGTGAACCCCCCTGGAACTTTTCAAAAAGTGAACCCCCTCTTCGCAAATCCTAGCTAGTGGCTACGGGCCTGTTTTATCACCTAGGTAATATCAAGATAGCTAATGCAGAACAGGAAAAGATGGACAATTCTGTGTAAATCAATGATTATACTGCCATCTTTACATGAATAAATTAATAAAATAGCATAAAGTAAAAAGTATAAAGTATCATAGACTGGCATCATAAAATGACTATCAAAAGATATGACGGTCTTTCATTCATTGGTTTGGATTATATATATGGAGATAATATTTGATATTTAATCAAAAAATAAAAATTATAGTTGAGGTAATGCTTCAGTCATATCTGATCTGAGGCAACAGTATGGCAGCTGTAGCTTCCCAAAACCAAGAAAAATGATGCAATATAAAAACAAAGATAGGCAATATGATGTTAATTTTCTATATCATATTTCTGAAGCTACGGCTGCTGTACGCCCACCGTAGAGCAAATGTGACTGAAGCTTAAATCATCAGCCCTTTTGTAGCAGGGGCAGTCCTAGAAGCAAGAGGGAGGGGGACAAAAGTTTTAATTGAAAAAAATTAATTTCTGTTCTTGTAGAGAAAAAATTGGGGCACTGAAACAAACAAATGGGCCCCAATGTTGAATATGAGGCCCCCTTCCTATACAATCAGATCCAAGAAATAATGCCAAATGCCAAGGGGGGCTGGGCCTATGTCCGCCATTGTGTAGCATCTTCAAGTGCCCAGTCTTCAGCGAATGATGATGATTGTAACTAATTTCAAGAAATGTTTCTATTTTTATATCAAATATCTGTTTCTGTTTGTCCCTGTATTTTGCAACCAGGATAGAGCTATATAATACTAAAAGCGCATGAATATTCATCTTCTTATCTTCTATATAACCAAAAAGGTTCACACCAAGTTTAACTTCAAACTTCATAAATCAGCGAGACTCAATGGGGTCAAGTGGAGGAGATTTGGTCAGAGAAGAGTGAAACCTTTACAGGGTCAAGTGCCTTGATGGATCAAACTGTCAAACAGAAGCTAGATCAACACTCAAGTTCAAGCAATATGTTCTATATCAAGCCACAAGTAAGATCTCCAAGATCTTTTTTTATAGTTTGCAGCTTTACAAGCAGATGTGTACAGGAGCTTCGTTAGCAGCAGGGAACTGGAAAATGCTGTTTTTCAGAAAATGCCTGATGAGATGAATAATTTGTCAAAACATTCCATGTCAAAATAATACTTTCTAAAAAACTGGCTGCTGTTTTTCATTATTTTGCCTGTTAAAATTAAAATACATTGAACTGAACTGTTTTCAAACACACATGGTTATATGAAAATTAAATAAAATAAAACCAGTAAACAAATATGTATATTAAATCATATAAGTATAAAACATATTAACCAAAATGAACCAAATTTCTACATAAACTATAATAACCCAAACCCCAGATAGTAGAAGTAATAATTTCTACCCTCTAACTAGAATAGCTTGCATCACCTTTCATGTGAGTTAAAATCTGAAATGAAAGACAGCTACTTAATCTGTCTTGATTTTGTTTTGAAAAGGGAAGAGCTCTGGTAAGAATATTTATTTAGAAATCAATGTCAATACAGGGGTTTCACTAGAATTTCTCACAACAGGGTAAATAAATGAAAACAGGCAAAATTAATTGAAATCATAGATTTAATTTTTTAAATTAAACATGGAAAAGTTGAAAAGTCCCTAAAAACAACAAGCGATTTTATGAAAACAACTGGTGAAAATCACCTGTTGCCTGCTGTTAATGAAACCCCTGCAATATCAATATAGTAAAACCAATATATCTGAACACCTCTCTGATCTGAACACCTCTGAATGTTGTGAACACTTTTTCTCTGACCACATATTGTTTTCTCCCATTGACTCACATATCAAGATTATAAGTTATTGAATGATTTGAAGTGCAATATAGGATATATTCTGCTCGAGAAATTCCGTATTGGAATGAAACGATCAACTGGAAGAATCTTAGTAGCAATACAAATTGGTACAGCACAACAACTGACCAATCAGAAAGCTTCATTTTACAGATCATACGATAAACCTTAATATGAACACCTGATAATCTGAATACCTTTGGGCGGCCCCAGTGGTGTTCAGACAAGACAGGTTTTACTGTACAATTTTTAACACAGATTTTTGAAGGTTATAAAGATAAATAAATCAATCATATAAAGATGTTTTGTCAAGATGTTTTATGGTGAACTTTCCTATAATGCCAAGTAATATGACATCAATGTCAAGTCTAAGACCTAGAGATGACATCAACCATGGCCTAATTAACAGCTATCAGTAAACAATGGAGTCATATTCCATTCACAGTTTATATAGCAACCATTTGGATATTGCCTGTCTATGTCTCATGTATCATTACAGTATTTTCTTAGAAATGCTCTTAGTTATAAGACAGAGTCATCTATAACTTTAACTGAATGGGTTAATATAACACAGATTTTATTTTAAAACCTACCATCTTACAACTCTCTGTTATACCAATGAATGCCAGAATTTGGCCTTTTTGACCATTACTGGACCTTTAAGGCCCTATTTTTTAATTTTAGGCCAAATTTAATTTTGAAGAAAATGGGCCTCAAATTTTCAAAATTTGGGTCCACTTTTTGGTTTTAGGGGCCCATATTTTTTTTCAGGAAGCGCAGAATTTTTTTATCAGCCCTGAAATTTGACCCCCCCTCTTGTTGGTTCCCAGATCAGCCCCTGTCCACAGTCTGTTCGTTGAAATACACATCATTCTCAAGCATTAACTCGTATAAAAGGCTGTGGTGTGTACCTGTATGTCTGTGTACCTATGCACACAAAAGAACACAGGGCTCCTCCAAGGAGGGATTTCTGGCTCTGTCTTTGAGTGTAAAATACGGAATATACCAATGAGGTATTGCTCGCCAAATATGGCGATAACCAAGATATAATAATAATAATTAGAAAAAGAAGGACTCCTGTTTAATCAGGGATGTTACACACCTTTACCTTATCAGACTCAGCCACTTTTGTCCCATTGACTTTAATTTCATCTGAGCTTTCCGTTTTGACTTCTTTCTCTTCTGTCACTTTCATAATGCTTTCCTTCCTTTTTCTAGATCTCTTAGATAAAAAATGTCCTCTTTAAATCCTAATCAGATTCCAAAACTAATCCAGAAACTAGTTCATAAAATACTACAAGCCTATTTCGATGTACAGTTGTATATCCCTGATTAAATCTAACTGAATCAGGACCTTTATTCCTTGGACTAAGTTGACTGGTAAAATGCAGCAATAGATGCAAGAGAGGGGAGCAAGAGAGGGGAGCAAACATTTTGATTGAAAAGAAAATTCTGTGCATGCATGTACTGAAAAAATTGGGGTACTGAAAAAACTGAATGGGCCCCAATTTTGAATATGAGGCCCACTTTCTATAGAATTAGGCCCAAGAAATAATGCCAAGTAAAGTCAGTGTGTTATCCATATTTATTCTGTTGCTCAGTTTCTATGGTAAGGAAGCAAATTTTGATCCAAATTTTTTTCGCCCATCTTGAGGGGGGGGGGGCTGGGCCTATGTCCGCCATTGCGTATTATCTTCAAATGCTCAATCTTCACTAGAATATTCTAAAGTCCAGAGAATGATCATGATTGTAACTAATTTCAAGAAATGTTTCTATTTTTATATCAAATTTCTGTTTCTGTTTGTCCCTGTATTTTGCAACCAGGATAGAGCTATATGATGCTAAAGCACATGAATATTCATCTTCTTATCTTCTATACAACCAAAAAGGTTCACACCAAACTTCATAAATCAGCAAGACTCAATGGGGTCAAGTAGAGGAGATTTGGTCAGAGAAGAGTGAAACCTTTACAGGGTCAAGTGCCTTGATGGATCAAACTGTCAAACAGAAGCTAGATCAACACTCAAGTTCAAGCAATATGTTCTAAATCAAGCCACAAGTAAGATCAACAAGATCATTTTTTATAGTTTGCAGCCTTACCAACAGATGTGAACAGGAGCTTCGTTAGCAGCAGGGAACTGGAAAATGCTGTTTTTCAGAAAATGCCTGATGAGATGAGGAATTTGTCAAAACATTCCATGTCAAAATAATACTTTCTAAAAAACTGGCTGCTGTTTTTCATTATTTTGCCTGTTTTCAGAAATTAAATTGAAACTTGTGAAATATGCTATACATTGAAATATGTTTTAAACACATATGGTTATATGAAAAGTAAATAAAATAAAACCAGTAAACAAATATGTATATTAAATCATATAAGTATGAAACATATTAACCCAAATGAACCAAATTTCTACATAAACTATGATAACCCAAACCCCAGATAGTAGAAGTAATAATTTCTACCCTCTTACTAGAACAGCTTGCATCACCTTTCATGTGAGTTAAAATCTGAAATGAAAGACAGCTACTTAATCTGATTGGGCAATATCTGCTCAAAGATCTTTCTTTAACATATTTGTCTTGATTTTGTTTTGAAAAGGGTAGAGCTCTGGTAAGAATATTTATTTAGAAATCAATGTCAATACAGGGGTTTCACTAGAATTTCTCACAACAGGGTAAATAAATGAAAACAGGCAAAATTAATGGAAATCATGAATTTAATTTTTTAATTTAACATGGAAAAGTTGAAAAGTCCCTAAAAACAACAAGCGATTTTGTGAAAACAACCGGTGAAAATCACCTGTTGCCTGCTGCTAATGAAACCCCTGCAATGCAATATCTATATAGTAAAACCAGAATATCTGAACACCTCTCTGATCTGAACACCTCTGATTGTTGTGAACACCTTTTCTTTGACCACATATTATTTTCTCCCATTGACTCACATATCAAGATTATAAGTTATTGAATGATTTGAAGTGTAATATAGGATATATTCTTCTCGAGAAATTCCATATTGGAATGAAACGATCAACTGGAAGAATCTCAGTAGCAATACAAATTGGTACAGCACAACAACTGACCAATCAGAAGGCTTCATTTTACAGATCATACAATAAACCTTAATATGATCACCTGATAATCTGAATACCTTTGGGTGGCCCCACTGGTGTTCAGACAAGACAGGTTTTACTGTACAATTTTTAACCCAGATTTTTGAAGGTTATAATTAAAAGATAAATAAATCATAAATATAAAGATGTTTTGTCAAGATGTTTTATGGTAAACTTTCCTGTAATGCCAAGTGATATGACATCAATGTCAAGTCTAAGATGTAGAGATGACATCAACCATGGCCTAATTAACAGCTATCAGTAAACAATGGAGTCACATTTCATTCACAGTTTATATAGCAACCATTTGGATATTGCCTGTCTATGTCTCATGTATCATTACAGTATTTTCTTAGAAATGCTCTTAGTTATAAGACAGAGTCATCTATAACTTTAACTGAATGGGTTAATATAACACAGATTTTATTTTAAAACCTACCATCTTACAACTCTCTGCTATACAAGAACGAATGAATGCCAGAATTTGGGCAGAATAGTTTTCACAAAATTTGTAATCTATCATACCCATCGTGGGATCACCAGACTGTACTATCTCTCGAGTACAGGCCCTCTCAAGTTACCAGGAGTAAGTAATCTACCGACCCCCCCCCATCATTCCTTTATAACCTAGACCTATGGTTATGAGATGAAGGGGCAGGGTCAATATTTGCAACAGGAATGGTGAATAATATGAACAATTGATTTAATGAACAATCTCTTCTCTTTTGTGGGATCTACCACTGGCGGATCTTTCCTTCCTTGGGTGGGCCCAGAAAACAAAAATTGGGCCCAAAAAATGTTGGGCATAAGACCCTATAAAGTGGGCCTTTTTGGCCATTACTGGACCGTTAAAGCCTTATTTTTTAATACTAGGCCAAATTTTGAAAAAAGGCCTCAAATTTTCGAAATTTAGGGGCCCAAAATTTTCGGTCAAGCAAGTGCAGAATTTTTTTCTCTGACCTGAAATTTGCCCCCCCCACCCTTTGTTGGTTCCCAGATCCGCCCCTGATGTCCACAGTCTCTCTGTTGAAATACACATCATTCTCAAGCATTAGAAAAAGAGGGACTCCTGTTCAATCAGGGATGTTACATACCTTTAACTTATCAGACTCAGCCACTTTTGACCCATTGACTTTAATTTCATCTGAGCTTTCCGTTTTGACTTCTTTCTCTTCTGTCACTTTCATAATTCTTTCCTTCCTTTTTCTAGATCTCTTAGATAAAAAATGTCCTCTTTAAATCCTAATCAGATTCCAAAACTAATCCAAAAACTAGTTCACAAAATACTACAAGCCTATTTCGATGTTCAGTTGTATATCCCTGATTAAATCTAACTGAATCAGGACCTTTATTCCTTGGACTAAGTTGACTGGTAAGATGCAGCAATAGATGACCAAGTAGGCGTTATCCTCAATGATGGATAGAGCACCAAGACTGACAGAACTCACATGACCTTAGTAAATGGCTGAGTAATCTGATACTCTAGCAAGATTGGGGCTGTATGTGAATGCCATGCACTTTGCTATATGCATATACAGTTAAACCTATTTATCTGAAAACCTCTCCAGTCTGAACACTTCAATTCTCAATATGAATGTTTTTTCGATCCCACTTTTTACTCTGTCATAGTCTATTACATAACCTCAAAATATGAACACCTGCCAAATCGAACACTTTTGGTTGATCTCAGTGGCATTTGAATAAGTCAGCTTGAACTGGACAGTAGTATCACTCCAGTTTACAATATCATGTATGCTGTTACATTTTCCCTTGTAGAATCTCCTACCAGTATGTTAGTATGCATATCCTATGACAGGTTGAAAATCCCAGGAGAAATCTACACCTTTACATTAGCAAACAGTAAATATTGTCTAAACAAATACCTCTCTCTGGTAAACACCTTCCTCTAAATAGTGAACACTCATTCGCTTCATTCAGAGTAAAACTCCTGTTCCTAGTAAAACATCATTTCTATTGACTTGGAGTAAAACACTTTTGGGGTTCCAGAAACTATTATTTATGAACTTGAATAGAAACAAATACAGTAAAACCAGTATATCCAAACATACTGGCGGCTCTGGGGGGGGCCCTTGGATGGGCCCAAAAATTCAAAAAGCCTTGAGGCCCCAAAAGGTTGGCCTTGGTCATTTCTTCAGGCCTTCTTTTTTAATTTTAGGTCAAATTTTGAAGAAAATGGGCCTCAAAATTTGGGCCTACTTTTTGGTTATATGGGCCCAAATCTTTTTTTCGCACAAGCGCGGAAGTTTTTTTCTCAGACCTGAAATTTGGACCCCCTTGTTGGTTCCTAGATCCACCGCTGAAACACCTCTCTAATCACAATAGAAGATTATCAAATGTCACCTCACACATCCTTTATCAATCATTCAATATAAATTAAGGACACAACATTTCAAAATGCTCCATCAAATGATTTGGCTGGAAATGTGTAGACAAGACTTTACAAACAAGTTCTTCGTAATTTTTAGTTCAAAATGACCACCTAACATTTACCCAGAATGCTCAAAGACTAATCAGTTATAAACCTATACGAAAAAATGTCCCTGAAAATTTCACATTGATCCATGAAACGATTTGGCTGAAGGGTGACAAGATTTTAGGAAATTTACATCAGATCTTTTGACTTGAACCGTATAGACAAGACTTACCCAGAATGCCAAAAAACTAATCAGTTCCCTTAAAGTTTTTCATCAATCAGTCAAACAGATTAACCTGGAAATTGTAGACTCGCCTTTACATACAAGGTTTTAGGTTGGAAAATCCGAAGTGGCCAGTTTAACAATTGACATTTACCCAGAACGCCTAAAAACTAATCAGGTTCTATATTTTTCAGATAAAAAAACATCCCTGAAAGTTCTAAAGCGATCAATCACCAAAGGGTTTGCCTGGAATAGACAAAACTTTGCTTTTAGGATTTTAGGATGGAAAATCTAAATAGGTCACATTTACGTTTACCCAGAATGCCCAAAAACTGAACAGTTTGAGGTTTTCATACCAAAAATCATCCCTGAAAATTTGAAATTAATCCGTCAAACAGTCCATCAGGGAATGCGAAGAGAAGACTTAGATTTTAGGACTAAAAATCCAAAATGACCACCTTAACATTTACCCAGAATGCCCAAAAATTAATCACTGAGATTTGCATACAAAAAATCATCCCTGCTTCATCTACCTAGTATAAACATAAACAAATGAATACTAGTGGTGTTGTGATGCACCATAATTATACATCGATGCATCTGCAATTTTCATGAGTAAACATCTATGGCTTTGTATAAAAAATCTCCTACCTCATACTAGTGTTGTCGCGATTAATCGATACATCGCGATATACATCGCTAAAGCTGGTTCTGGCGATGCATCGATGTCTGAAACAAAACATCGATGTTTTTAAAAAATTTTAATTTGCTAAAAATCACCCTTTCTTATCTTATTTTGACGCAAGTTGCTTACCTTTTTTCATGTCTTATTTCATTTTCAAATGTTTTCTGATATTCTTTCGCTTTAAAACTGTTTTAGCTATTCGAAATGAACCATTAATCTAAAAAAATTACTTTAATTTCACCGTTACTATGTTCCCGGATGTACCAGCGTACTCTTATTAATTTGTTCTGTTCGATATTTTAGTGCATTAGCGTTCGGTATTTCAGTGCACTTTTCTCGAACTTTTTCTTGATGTACATCGCGATGTGCATCGATGTTTACTACTGAAAATTGCCGATGCATCGATGTACGATTATGGCACATCGCGACAACACTACCTCATACCCACCTACGTGGAACATGATTCAGTCATTGAAGGGTTCAATTTTAAAGATTATTAAATCTCAAAATAGCTAAAATTATTAACATTTCTACAATTCCAGCTTTATTTTATGATTAGAGTAGACAGATGGCATATCCATAAATAAAGGCATATCAATGCATTTTAATGTGTTATGACCCGAGGGCCCCCCAAGGGAATAAATAACTAACGACCGCAAGCATAGGTCCAACAAGCCAGATAAAGAAATTGAAAGAAAGTGTTCTAAATTTGATGCCCCGAGTGGGAATCGAACCCAGCTAGGATGTAGTAGCAACTTGCTATCAAGGGTCGTTACAAATGCATCTATAATTCATCATAAACTAAGATTTAATAAACTAAGATCTTTAAAATTGAACACTTCAAAGACTGTTTCATGTCACACGAAGGTGGGTAGGTGGGTATGAGGTACTATGAGGTTTTTTATACAAAGCCAACATCCATGCTCAATGCGATGTTATCACGAAAAAGTAGGAGAAAAATACTGAATGCAAATTACTTGCATTCAGTAAGGTTGGGCTTCTTCAACCATGGGATTATTTCGACCATTATCGATAATTCAAATTTCCGGGGTTGACCATCTTGGATTAAGATCTCTCCTAATAGAGATTTTGATTTATTTTTAAAAAATTTCCAAAAACAACATCGATGATGGTGGATAGCGCGAATTGAAAATATTGAGGAAGTACCCTCATACATCTATTAGTTTCCCAAACTCATGCCAGATAGTTTGAAACAAACTTTGTCAAACTCGATCATAGATGCTCCCTGGGTAATACGAGTGTTAGGCATCCCGGTAAGTAATCTTATTACCCGGGGAGCACCATAACTGTGTACTAGATCAACTGAGCCGAGGCATGTCTTTATCCCCCTTACGGAAATACATTGCTGCGGCAGCGCTGCTGCAGCGCTGCCGCAGCGCTGCCGCAGCAAATTGGCTCCAAATGTTGGATGCAGGTAATTGCAGCCAATCGCTGCGGCAGCATGATGCTGCGGCAGCATCATATTTGCAGCGAATTGGCTCCGACAGCGCTGCAGTTAATTGCAGCCTTCTCGGAGCTGGCTCCGACAGGGCTGCAGCAGCGAATTGGCTCCGACAGCGCTGCAGTTAAGTGCAGCCTTCTCGGAGCTGGCTCCGACAGGGCTGCAGTATTTTCCCGCTCTTTTTATACCAAAAGAAAGATGGCTGACAAAGAATGTTCAACTGTAAGAGATTTGGGTAATTTTATGATTTTATAATAATAGTATGAAAATGACCAATCAAATATAGATTCAGAAGTTAATGACATACTTGAACATTCTGCATGTCTATTTTGTGAGAGATAAAATGTAAGTATTGCTGTGTTATTCCAGTTTAGATGGGCAAATCTCATTTTCTTTGTGAATTTATAAAGGCTAAATTTTAATTCTATTCATACAGTCAAAGTGGTCAAGCATAAATGTGTTGTGTATGAGGATTGTACCATGCAGTAAAAATATAAGGTATTTTATAAAGATTATGAAGATAAATACTGCTGGAGGCATAGAGGGTCCTTCAATAACTGGAGCCTTCTGGCCTTCAGGACAATTCTGAATGGGTAAAATCACCAGTGATGTCCCATAATAATTGCTTATATCGTCTTACGTCCTGGGCCAACCTAAAATGAACAATTTGCGTGAGATTTCCAAAAATTGTGGTACTTTTATGGGAGATTTTTCCAAAATCTGGTAGTTTTTAAAAGAATTGGTGGTTTTCGCCGTAGATTTTTAAAAATCGGGAGTTTTTGAGGTAAATTTCAAAACAACTGAAGTTTTTACGGTAGATTTGAAATAAAACAGTACTTTTTAAAAAAAAGCAGATTATCTCAAATTTTTAATTTTTTTCTAATAAAAGCAATAGTTTTTGTGGTAAATTCTGCAAAAAGTGGTACTTTTATTGGAGATTTTTGACAAAATCTGTAGTTTTTGCAAGAGAATTTTGAAAAAACTTTAACTTAATTAGTACGCTGTGCATGGCCAGATTTGAATATTCACGGGAATAACATATCCTTCGAATTTGTGTGTCCCTACCCAATTTTGCATATTATTTGATGTTTTGGGTTCGTATAGTAGAAAATGAATTTTGTAGACAATAATGCATAATGGGTAAGAGTAATGCAAGAAAAAGGTTTTAAATATAGCTAATAAATAGGTAATACTCTGATAATTCTCATCTAACACTACCTTGTTGTTACAATGTAATTTTCATTTTATAATCAGTCAATATTCTACATGAGCGTTGAATGGTAACAATACCTTATTATGAACACCTATGTATTTATTAACGTAATTCTCTCTAATTTGCGTGATAATTTTTTTAGTTGTTTGTTAGCTAAGAATTAATAGAGTATTACCTATTTATTGTCAATATTTTCCCATTGATTTATTTCACTTGGGCCCTCATTGATAAAAACAATAAAATGCCCCAAAGCATCTCGAAACTGAACAAATATTACGCTAATAAAATAAGGGGTCGGGAAAGGGCTAAAACCATGAGACTCAAGGCAAACAACAAGGAAATCTATGAAAATTCAATATTAAGATTTAAGAAATCCAAAAATTGTGCATTGCTTTCTTGTTAACTCATATAGGCAATCAAGTCGTAAACAAGGTAGAAAGTGTGTGTGTGAAAAATGTACAAATAACTCTGAGTCTGATTACCACCATGTTTCTGACAATGTTTGTTCAGTTAGGCAAACTGGGGGATATAACCCAACAAAATCACAGCCATGCAACTATAATGGAAGAGATAGGCATCCATCATATTGGGTGAGATGTTTTCAATCCCCCTCCCCCTAAAATACCTCAGGCCAATGGTAGCCTTCTCTGCAATTGCTGCGGTTAACCGCAGCTCAAGTCCCAGAGTGAAATGGCTCCGACAGTGCTGCGGTTAATTGCAGCCTTCTCGCAGCATGCTGCGGCAGCGCTGCGGCAGCCTAATTTGCATGCTGCGGGAGCGCTGCGGCAGCCTAATTTGCATGCTGCGGGAGCGCTGCGGCAGCAGGCTGCGGCAGCGCTGCGGCAGCCTAATTTGCATGATAAATTCCAATGTGCTGCCGCAGCGCTGCGGCAGCATGCTGCGGGAGCGCTGCGGCAGCAGGCTGCGGCAGCGCTGCGGCAGCAGGCTGCGGGAGCCAGTAAATTTCCATAAGGGCCATCTCCATCATTCCATGACTAGGCTACAGTGGCTACACTAGAACTAAGAGAGGTCTGTGGCACAAAAATAACCGATACACCATGGAGGAATAGTGCCGACCGTGTGAACAGTTCATTTTATTTATCCCACGGTTTATCAAGGAAAAGATTTGTGGGGGGTGAGTGAAAATCAATGGCAGGTTTCTAATAAAAAATACAGCCAATTCAAACTTATCTATGATGCCAGACCCATATATACTTTATACTTAAAACAAAGCCTTAGGTTGAAAAAGATTAAACAAATATATAGGTGAAGAAATCCGATGAAACATAAGAAAATGAATAAATGTATATTCACCTGTTCTCTTTAAAAATGCCTCCTAATCACGTGACCCTTGACCTACTTCCTAAGGTCCGATTTATTTCCCGGGGATATGGAACATAATACTTATGACTTTATGCGATGAAATTCTCTCCAAAATACATATGTATTCCCTACATGTTTTAACCGTTGATAAGTTCCTTTGTGTGCTTGATACATAGGCAATATTCAATTCAGAGAAAAAAATATCATTTACACTGAGCGAAAATTCATTGACCGGAAGTTCTGCATGGAAAGTTGAAAAAGTACGTTTTATCATTTTTTGACGTTTCAGCTATCTAGAGTCTAGACTCTACTTTGATGCTACATAATAAGTATTCACATATTATTTGTACACGTTTTGTTAAAAATATTTGGCATTACATAAGAATTTAGATCAGTTAGACTCTAAAAAACATTCTGAATTCTGTTTGTTATGGAATTTTCTCAATTTTTTGCACGTTGTCGTTTGTTTCACTTTTACTTTATAGGGGAGATGCGTCGATCTTCGACATATGGGGCTACTTCGTCATGGGGCTATTTCAACATTGCTGGCATTGGCAATTGTCATGGTCAAAGTATCCCCATATGTCGAAGTTCAATGCATCTCCCCTAATAAAGTTTATTTTCTTTTACTTTCCTATGAGGCACAGCAACATACGATGGCTGAGCGAAACTATGATTTTCCTGGTTAGGGTTATCTAGGGTCAGGGATAGTGTGAGGATTAGGGTTGTAGTTTCTTCACCTGTTGCGATCCAAAAGTGTTACCCTTTTTTCAAGATCTCCTCTACTGCCAAAGGCAGCCGCACAATAGTCGCAGTAGTAGTTGCAATAGCGACGTCTGTTCATCTGTTTGGTTTTATGTACGATAGCTCAAATACAAGTTGTTAGATTTGGTTACAATTTAATATGCTGATACCTAGGGACAAAGAAGCTCTGTTCAAGAAGATATTTTCAAGATGGCTGCTATTTATCAAAATATGTTTTGTTTGGTGGGATCTGCTCGTGGGTGGAATTGCTGTTTTTTAGTGTATTTATGCTATAATTACATACTTTTCCTCGCTTGGTATTTATGAACATGATTTTAATAAACATTCATGTATCTTTTCCTCCTTTTAAAATATTATTTCATATCTGTCTGTATTGGTTGTTCTTCATTGTTTCTTGAGAGTATGTAGTTTCACTCACAAACTGCCTCCTTTTTTACCTCTGCAGCCCCTTGTTGCCCCTTTAACAGGCAAAATAATAATAATATATAATAATAATGTAATATCTTACTTGTGAAATTGCCTACTTCAATTTCAGTGCATTTACTATTTTCAAAAATTGAATATTCACTGCAAGTGAATAAGTTTTTTAGAGTATACAACTGCAGCAGGCCAAACTTCAGTCAGTAAGAGGTTATATGTTTCAATCTTGAATATAAGAAAGCTCACATAGATAACTGTATTCATTCGTTCGTGATCAAACTTGACATATTTATACCATGATACATATTGCCACTGGTATAATTTCCATATTCAATCCCTCCCAGTAAGTAAACTCTATATATCAGTAAGTAAGATTAAGTATGTAACAGACTTGTACATTTCTTCTTTTAGATCTCAAGATGGATTTGTTGCCGAAGTCCCACAAAGAGTTTAGTTCAGCTGAATATTGGGAGAGATTTTTCAAGAAGAGGGGAAACCAAGCATTTGAATGGTACAGTGCCAATTTCACGTTTTACACATGTATTATTGTATTGTAACATACAGTTGCTCTATGCACTGGTATGATTACTAGAAATTACCATTTATCATCAATACTATCGATAATTGTTTTTTCAAATGAACTTACCCCTAAAACTGCTTAGGAAATCTCTTTTCTTCTTGTCACAGTGAAATTTAGAAATAAAAATAAAATAGGAGCTAATTCCAAAAACTGTATTGTAAACATTTTAGCAAGAAACAATGAATTTAATGATGGTACTAGTATTTTTATGGTTTAATATTTAGAAAACTATCAATGCATATGATATTGTTTGTATTGCTCATTTTCTTTATATATTGCCTAGTATACATGAACACTTCTAAACATGTTAGCCACTCGTTATCTGTATTGTTAACATAACTTGAAATTGATGCTTTTATGCCATATAAGGTATGGACAATACCAGGATCTCTGTGGAGTTATTCACAAATACATGAAACAAGCCGACAAAACACTGGTGATTGGCTGCGGAAATTCTCGCCTCTCAGCTGACCTTTATGATGTAGGATATCATGACATCAGAAATATTGATATCAGCGAAGTCGTCATAAAACAAATGTCTGATCAAAACTCAAAGAGCCGGCCTGATATGAAGTTCATCCAAATGGATCTTACGAAAGTAAGTGTGAATATTCTCCCTCCAACGTTACCGTTCAGCTGGTTGAAAAATTCTCATATTATCAATTCAGGGAATCACTAACAGAAACTTGAAATTATTTTCAGAATTTCTGATTCAGTTGTTGTAACCATGGATATAACAACATCATAGAGAACAACGGAATAAATGAATTCTTATCTTGTTTACGTTATGTTTCTGTTGATGAACCCCTAATTTAGAGTTTTCCTAAAGTGCTCAATTAGAGTCTATTTTGGAAAATTGCACACCGGGCCAGATTGTGACGTATTTTAATACAAACTATGATTTTGCACCACCTATAACGTTGATGCCATATTCGGATTCTTAAAGAATTAGTTTGAGCCGTCAACTGTCAACACTTCTAGCGCAAAAATCATTATTTTAAAAAAGGTCTAACAGCGCTAAATATTCAAATATCAAAAATCTGAAATCATACAATTGTGAGTCACTGCGATGTTTATTTGCCTCCAAAGTAATACATGTAGATTGAAAAAGAAATAAAAATTTTGGAACAAGAAAAGTGTTCCCGCATTGGATTCTATGCTAATTACGGCTCTTTGGAACAATACATTCAAAAATGAGCAGCGCTTGCATTAGGTTAGAAAATTTGTGAGTCCCAAGGACGCAATTTTTTTTTAAAAGTGTGTCCTTTGAAAAAAAGTGTGTCCCCTATTTCTAGCCTGTTTTGAGGTATAACTTTATTTTGAAAGCCTTTTTTACCAAAACACCTTTCAGTTTTTGATTTCTTGCCGCGAATTTAAAACGGAAGTAAACGTTAAGTACGGACTGAATAAATGCATGTTCGTTCATTCGACAATGAATACATTTTATTTCATGAATAACCTAATATTTGTTTCTGAATAGGAAAAACTGTGGCGTGTCATGGTTTCAAATCTAAAAATAAACAAAGTCGAAAAAATATCGAGAGAATCATGATTATTTGTAAATATTCAACATGTTGAGCCTTATTTACGATTCAAATAAAGGTGAGAGATCATAATTATTTGTTTTTGTTAGGTATCGTTGTAAACACATTGTAGTATTGGCCTAAAAAAATTTTGCGTCCAAAAAACTGAAATATTTTCAATTTTTGCGTCCTCCAAATTATTTTTGAGTCCTTAACATGTACGGGACGCCGTTATTGCAAGCCCTGATGAGGCTTACGCGTGTACATTCAAGCCCCAAATTTGAAGAACAGTTTCACTCATTATACCTCATTTGGGCCTGCCATGTTGTCTCAAAAAACACTTGAAAGTCCTATCAAGAGATTTTTAAACAATTTATTTATCTGATTTCCAGATGACCTTTGCTGATAATGAGTTCAGTGTGGTGTTAGACAAGGGGACGTTAGATGCCCTGCTGACCGATTCATCGGAAGAGACCATTCAGAGAATAGATACCATCTTTGGTGAAATAGGACGTGTGTTAAAAGTTGGAGGGCGCTACATATGTATCTCACTAGCGCAGGAACATATTTTGAATAAAGTGTTAGAATATTTTCCGAAAGAGTGAGTATTATTTATAAATGATAATTCATAGGGATGAAAATGTCAGTAGAAAGTATAAATGTTTTAAAAGAGAAATTAAAATGTCTTCATTATATTTGCCATGCACCTGTTTTATGGGCATCCTACCTTTGTTTTTGAGGCATCTGAATTAAAATACATGTGTATAAACTAAAGAAAAAAGAACTTTGAAATGTGAACATCTGCCAATCTGCCAATCTGAACACTGTTTGGCAGTCATATTGGATTTTGGATTAGGCAAGTTTTACGATATGTTTATCCAAGGATTGACCTATTAGGGCTGGTCCACTGGTCCTTTGGCAGGTTACTTTTGATATGGACCAGCTGATTTTTTCAGTAGGTATAGGAAAATAACATGGCGAGTGGTATGTTATGTCATTTTGACCAGCTGCTCTCAGAACCTAAATTCAACCCCTGATTTGCATCACATGTTGTTTTTGTCTTGCAGAGGATGGATTGTGCGGGTGCATAGAATCATACAAGACAACGACTTGGAGGACAGAGAGTTCCAGCTTCCAGTCTTTGCCTTTGTCTTCACCAAACTTATGAAGTTACCCAACTTTAAACCTGTATGTATATTGATATATAGTGGCCAAATGTTATAAAATATGTGTATTTCTGGGCATAATATTAGTTTAAGTTACATTGCAGGTTTAATTGCTTTAGAACAATCAATTTAGAAAAAATAGCTTTGTAACAAAGGATTTTTGATGTGTTACACAGGCATGAAATCCTTTGTTATGAAGCTTTTTATGAAAGTGCTTTGTAATGAAGCAGTTTAACCCTGCTGTGTACCAGGTACCATAGTCACATCATTTTAGTTATTTATTTTAAAAGTTTTAAAATTGTTTCATTTTGAATGAATTTTCAATATGGCCACTCAATTCAAAATGGCCACCATTTTTTGTAAAAATTTAATCTTTGATAACTCAAATACTAGCAAATGGATTTGATCAAATTTTATATGCTAATTCCTTACATCTCTGATCAGTGTGATTGGAAGTATAACGAAGCTTTCTTATTTCTTTTGGCTAGATTTTTGAGGTTGGCCAGTTTGATGACACTCTTGAGAGACTTGAGACAGCAGAGAAGGTGTGTGCCTCAATACAAGGGATGCAACAATACTCATTAGTCAGGCACCATCTGCAGAAAAAGTAAGTGCAGTTAAAGTACAGTTAAATCAGTATATAAAAATATTAAATCATTGCCAACATGTATACATATTTAGCTTTCAAGTGAATGGGTTAATAAAAATGAAATTATATAAAAAATGTAAAAAATATTCAAAGAGGTGGTTTGTAAATGTAAGACAAATAGTAACTTTAGTGTTTTTAATCAGTGAAAGATGTCACTCAGGGTTCTATAGGAAGATAGCTAGCAAAGTCTTCCATCTATCAGTTCATCTATCATTTCATTCAGTCGTGTTCTCACACCACATCACTCAAAAATGCAAATTTAGAAAGCGGTCCTTGTCACTCTCAGTATTTACCAAATAAGTAGGTCAGTAAATCATTATCAATGCTGCATTCTGATTGGTTGAGAAATTCAATTAGAGCACGGCCATGTTTGAATTTTAATTGAAGCAAAAATGAAGAAGACTTGTCAATGAATAATGAGAGGGTTGCATACATTAATAGTATTAAGCTGATAGAGGTATCGCTTTTTGTTTGAGGTAAGTAAATTGGCTGGACAATTTTCAGGAATTTGTCTTTTATTTCTTTTCGTGTACTCGTGTTTTCACAATCTTGGCAAGTGCTTCAATTCATGCCAGAATTACAATTTTAAACATGCGCCATTCTGAATTCGGGATTTCACACTACCATGAATGTAACACAAATTCAAGATGTCCGCAAATTTAATGTGTTTTACAGTAATAAGAGCCCTGCTCTAAAATTAGATATGGAAAAAGGTGTCCCAATTAGAAGACTGTTATTATCGATAAACATACATCTTCATTAAATGAAGTATGATTGGCCTCAGTGATTACCATATATTAAAATGCTACAGTAAGTGCTACATGTTGACATCAATCTTGTCATTGAAGTCTCAAATTATCTCGAGCGATCGCCCAATTCATCATTTACACTTGCCTTCAGTGAAACCTTACCTGGCCAAAAAATATCATTCTTCTCAATCTGAATTTTTACGCACTATTCCTCTCGGTGAGTTTGAGTGAATAAACCTTTCTTCTGAATATGTGTAATTTGACTGAATATGTGTAATTTGACATGCATTGTTTATGTGTTCTTTGATTATTGGTTTGGGATTGGTTGTTGAATTTTGTTATGCCACCAACAGAAGTGGTGTCATATTGTTATATGTTTCAAACTTTTTTTGTGGATGGTGGTTTGTGATTGGTGTTCGGCAGTCAGCATCTGTAACAAATGGCTGGTTGTGACGTTTTGCATGTAATTACCTTGTTTCGTTTTCACCAATTGTGCTTTTCGATTTTAATATTACATATTGGCCGTTCTTCTTTCATAACTCATTTTTTGCTTCAAGTCTACTAAGCCTTATCACTTTAAATATTTCAAATAAGTATAATGCTTTTTTTCTTTCCAAATGTGATATACAAAAGGAAACAGTTCATACCTATGATAAAATTCACTTGATTTTGACGTTTGTGACATTTTGAATGTGATTTCATGATCAACAAATCATTTTTCTACGGGAGAACATTGTGATTGAGATGTATTGTACTCTCAGTAATGGCAAAATCAGATATATCACTGTCACACATTCCTTGTAATGAAGGTACATTTATACTCCCTGATTTATTCATTGAATTTACTATTACATTTTTACATAATACATTTTTACATTGAAATACTGTAGATACACTTAATTTGACGCTACTTTATTTGGCGGATTTGCTCAATTTGAAATATTGGTGGCTATTTAATTTGGCGGAATCTGAACTGAGCTCAAGATTTACCATAGATTCTTCTATTCTGCTTTCAGTAAGTCTTGGTATAGCACTGACATCCAAATAGGATGAAATAATGAAAGGTGAAATAATTGCAAATTACAAATTCTCTCGGGATTTTCCAAAATAGATCTGAAAATTGGCGGATTTTTAATTTGGTGGATTTTTTCAATCCGCCAATCCGTCAAATTAAAACGGTAGCCAAATTAAGTGTATCTACAGTATTACTTTCATATCATGGATATGACGTCAATATTACGTTAGCATTATACAAGATGTCCACAAAGTCTCAACAATTCCAATACAAAGTCTGTGTGAAGTGTAAAGAATATTTATGGCCACCCTGTATATTGATTGGATACTTGTATTCACTGGGTATTACATATACATTTACTCAATTTAATTCTTTATACATTATTATACCATCGTCAGAGCAATATCAGGTATATAATAGCTAGTGATAAATCACATATTTGGGACAGGGATGATATCAGGGATGATATTGATATCATCCCGGGGAAATTCAAAGAATTTTACATTTTTCAAAATTTGTTTTTTTCAAATTAAACATTTTTCATTTTTTCAAAAAAATTGCATTCCCTTGGGAAATATTGATATCATCCTTGTGATATTCCCCATATCAGATCCTTCCTGGTGAATAACTTCTTTTTATAAGATACAGTACATAGGATATCCTATGGTTTATGAGTGATATGATATTCATGTATGGATATTGATATTTATTCCATAATACTACTGTTTTCCCAGGAAAATATGAAGGAATAAAAATCGTATTGAATCGTATTACATGAAAAAATTGTATTGTCCCCGGGAAAAAATCGTATTGGAGCGTATTACATGAAAAAATCGTATTGTTCCCGGGAAAAAAATCGTATTGGAACGTATTCACCTATTTTTGGTTTTCCTGTTATTTTTAACCTTGGCTAATTGATAAAAGTATTTCAAAATGTAACATTTTAGAGGAATGCATTATGGAATAAATAGGTTATTTCTGGTCGAATTGAATATGGGTTTCATTCCTTGGAAAATATGATATTGACCTTGGGAAATATGATATTGACACTCGGTCGCTGCGCTCCCTCGGTCAATATCATATTACCCTTCGGTCAATATCATATTGTCCCTCGGAATAAAACCCATATTCAATCCCTCCCAGTAAATAACCTATATTTATCACATGGTATGTAAAATTCCAGTGATCTGATTGGTTGTAGCCTTCCTGGTATTTCCCGTATCACGACCATGTAACTAGTGGTAACTAATTACTGACGTCATATAAGTGAAAGTTCCAGTGTAGTGACGTTACACTATTCAAACTGTTCAGAAATATATGACGTCACATACATTGATACCTAGGAAATGACGTTATAACAATAAACTATGTTCTGTATTGTAGACTATATTGTAAGTAAAAGAACTTCAATCTATCATAAACGGAAACTACATAAAAACATACTTTATATGATAAAATTGTCATCAACGTTTCAGCTGATGTGATACGAAAATATTCCACTCAAGCAAAAAGGTATCAACACTTAAGCTTTGCTTTCGTGGTGATACAATTTTTACTTTCGTGGAACATTTCCCGTATCACATGCTGAAACGTGTGATAACTGATAGTGCATGTGCTTGCGTAGTGAAAGAGATATAAAAATCATATCATGAGTAAATCTGAGGATTTTCTTTTTATTCCATAGCTAAAAATGATCCAAATCAAACTATCAAAATGACTGATGGGTGATTATTACTATACTGTCTATCTTGTTTTGGGTCAAAGTAGCAAAGGTCCTTTAGCCATCGGATATGATGTTGCATGGTGTAAAGGCTGTATTCTATGGTTTAACGAAAATTTGCAACCCACTGGTTCCAAAATCGACCACTTTTATTTTGGCACGATATCCTATGAATATCACAGTAACTATGGAACAATATCAACTGAATCATGTATGTCCTTCTACCCTAACAGTAAGTACATGACTGTAGCTTTTTAACGTCTTTATGTACATGGATTTTAATGTCATAATTCACCCAGATTTGACCAAACCAAATTATCTACAATTTTCTGTCTGTCTATTTAATATTTTTATCTGACCATCTTCTACGATTTTGAGGTGAATAAAGCATAAATATGCCAACATCATTGAGTATTAGGTTTGAGAATCATATTGTATGGCCACGTCATGGGGTATTTGGTTTGAGTATCATATTGTATGACCACGTCATGGGGTATTTGGTTTGAGTATCATATTGTATAAACATGTCGTGGTTTTTTGATTTGAGTATCATATTGTATGACCACGTCATGGGGTATTTGGTTTGAGTATCATATTGTATAGCCACATCATGGGGTATTTGGTTTGAGTATCATATTGTATGACCACGTCATTGGGTATTTGGTTTGAGTATCATATTGAACTCTGATAAACCCCTTAGTGTATCATTTAGTGGGAACATCATTTGTGGGATACAGATTTCTGGGATACCATCCACATCATTCACAATCTCTGTTCCATTCACCAGGTGGCAGGTCGAGCAATCGTTGTACCAGAATCCTCCACCATTTTCATGTGCACAATTCGTTGTAGTTTTGTTGTCGTTGTCAAGATCCCAGCTGGAGAATCGTGATCCATTCAGTTGCCATGCCAACATGGAGGGATCGATCATACTGATGTTCCAGTTTCCCGGAATGGGTGTTATGTTCGGTCCTTCTATGGCAGAGAATGATATGCTATAGCCGTTCTGTTCACTTGCGATCTTAAAATATTTTAGGAGGTACATCACCTGCAATGACAAGTTTAGTTTATATTTTACTTATGAATTCAAATAAGGGGAGGGGGAGGAATTCAACATTATCAAGAGAGGCACAGCCAAGATTTAAAGTCAGGCGAGGCAAATAATTAATTGGTGAGGCAAATCGATGTCAAATGAGGTAAATTACAACTTCATTTCCACAATTTTCTTTGGATAAATGTGGAAAAATACACTTCAGTAAAATTTTGATGGGGCATTTGCTACACTAGTCATAATCAATGGCAGGAATTCAATGCTGTGTTATCAAGGCATAATTTTGATTGATCAATTGCGAAGAATACAATTGTCATATTCTGTTATTCATCACATCTTTCTGTTTCGCAAGTTACTCTGATTGGATGAGATTATTTTCAGATCTAGTGTCATCTGAAAGGAGTGAGTTATCACTGCCATATTTTATATTATTTATATTTCTGCATTGTATTTTATATCAAATGCATTGTTTGGATATGTATATGAAATCAGAAATAAAAAAATTAAATATAAAAAAAACAAATACTGTAAATGAAAAATAACTGTCTTCATAAAGTGTGATATCAGTTGGGTTATAGGATGGGTTCCGATTCACAGGTTAGGTGGACCTGAGATGAGGGATCCCCTGTAAAGATGTATTGCCATGAAGTTGTAAAATGAAATTTTTTAGGCAAAATAACTGATCTAGACGATGGCCTTGAAAAACTAGAAATCGCTATTTTGAGCCGTCACATTGAATTATGAATGAATGTTAGTCGAAATAATGCAATTCTCAATTAATATATCACTCAAATATCACATTACATTGAAATGAACAATTGAATCATGAATAATAGAATAATGCGTATTATCTGAATGTCATCTATTGTTATTCGTGACATATGATAATAGTATAAATTCGAAAATAAGTCGGTGCCAAAGATTCCCAGTCAACCTATTATGAAAACTAATAGGAATTCTCGGCTTTTATTACACAATCTAGCACATATCAAAGTAGAAACGTTTAAAATATTTATGATTAATGACAGGGCTAGATTATATCACCGTGAAGAATAAGTGTTGTTGTTTTTACGTAAATGTTGGATTAGTAGATGCCAGCCTGTTATGTTAAGAATAGTCATTGATTGATTTGAGATGAGCAACATTACATCCTTTTTTGGAATTGTTTTGTATTAGTTATCACGAACCTAATTATTCTGTTTTGTCATTAGGATTGCATGCAATAGTATTTCAGTTTTTTATTCAGTATTTCAAGGACATTGCTAATTTCATAGTGACATGTACCTCGTTTATGACCTGTTAAAGTGCCTTAAAATCTGTTCTAAATATGTATTTGTCGTTCTTTTCCACAATATGTAGATGGAAATATATTTGATTTCAATATGTTTTTATGAAATCTTTAAGAGGCAAATATATTGAAATATTAAATCTTAAAGATTTGATCATACTACTAGAAAAATATAAACCGTATTCTCTCTAATAAGCACACATTACATTTTCCAAATTATTGTTGATAGTCTTTTTAGTCGTTATCACTAAGGTTACTACTCTACAGCTCCTGTATTTCTTTCTCTGCATTAAATATCAATTGATATCATGTTGCATACAGCGTTGTGTTTTCTTGAGCCCATATTCATCTTAAAGCCGCTTGTACATCATGGGAACTGTGAACTCATTATAAAGAATATTGTACCCTTTTAAAGATTTTTACTAGAGGATATTTGGTCTTCACTCTGTGAATAAGAGATTTTTGAGCAGGCCAATGAAAATCAGTCACCCAAAATGTTATTTTTCAACACTGACATCTCTCTAAAAGCTTACAATCGTTTCATATTTAAAGGCCCCATATAAAGTTTAAACCACTTGTTTCATATTTAAAGGCCCCATATAAAGTTTAAACCACCTGGCTTATATTGTAGTCTTATCCAATGTTATCAAAGTGTGATATGTGAAATTTTTATTTTTAATTTCAAAAGGTGGTTTTTGAAGGACTTTTTTATAAAAAATATCATGATTCTATTTAAAACTAACTTTTATAGGTCACGCTTATCTTTTAATAAAGGATAATTCACATCAATGCACAGCTTTCATCCTCAAATATTTTTTGCCGAAAGAAATGAATTCACCCATTCATGAAAATGGTCCAGAGAAAAATACATTTCAAAATTTTAGTTCTCATAGAAACCAATGGAACAATAATATTTAAACATTACATATTCTTCCTTTTTACCTGGTTAGACAATCAACATAATAGTTAAGCATATTCAGAAAATATTGACGTGGAAATTTTTTCCAAAAGTTTTCACCACCTGAGTGATATCAAGATGAGGTCATTTAGGTTGCAAAATATTTTTTGTTATGCTTAAACATTGAAGAAGTACATTAGATATGGCATTTCTTTATTGAAAAAAGTGCCAAAGCATCAAATGTTGTATTAGTGTATCCTTTGTTCAATATTTACATTGGTGTTAAAAGATAATGTTTTTTTGCACTCTATAGTGGTTATTTGATGATTAAAAAACGTCAAAACTTTTATTTGAAAAATGGTGGGAAATTGTATATTGAGAAACATCATCATGTTTTTATGAAAAGATTTCTTCCAATATTTTAATCTCTCCAGTCTTTGTCACACCTTTAAAAGTAAAATTTTTTTTAAAAGTTAAAAATATTTAATGACATACTTACATTTACTTGATCAACCTTGATAGACAATTCCAGGTCAAAATCTTTCAATTCAGTCATTTTTGATGCATACTGAAGTCCGAAAAATGCATAACTGTTTCCATGAATACCAAGTGGAGCGTTGTCATGGATACCTGTAAACCCGTATTCAAATTGATTCCAAGATTTTTGAAAGAAGTCGGCAGGCCCATCAAAGGATCTTGACACGAGATGTATGTATTGGTTTGTACACATCACAACTGTTGGTTGAAGTCCTATGTAGGGCATGATTGTGTAATAACCAGAGATGCTACCCAACCTTTTGTGATACGAGCTGCAATCTGAAATAATTTATTTTTATTTTTAAATTTAATGATAGATCATCATTTTTATGTAAAAGTCCTGAGAATTAGGAGAAATGATAAAAAGAAATGAGAAAGTTCATGACCTTGTGTATGCAGAAAATTTTTCTTTGTTTAATGCAGAAATTTGATTGATATTAAAAATTAGGATGCTGTGAAAAACAAAATGCATTATTTTACCACATTTAGTGTAAGTACTTTATTGAGGCCAAGTTGACTTTTTCTGATGTATTCCTTAATTTTTTGTCATTCCTTGATATTTCTTGAACTCTTTGAAGCGTGATAGGCGCTTATTAGGGAGTGGGCGCAAAATATGGCATACTGGTAAGTGTAAAGAAGTGAATGTGAGAATTCCTAATATTAGCATGCAAGTAACACTCAGTTGTCATGGAAACTATAATTAATTACTCATATTTGTCTATATTTTCAATGTCAAATTGTATTAAATTTCTGTCATGCAAACCTTTTTCCTGAATGATAATTGCCAATTCTTAGTCCTTATGTCAGAGACTGTTAATTCGTACAATAGGTTCAATTTCATATTTTGGAAAAGTGATTATCTTGTAGTGTACCTTTGTCCACGAAGTCGCATTGTTCACCATAGAAACCGTTGTCACAGTGACATACCCCATCAATCAGGTTACCATGGAAACATGCAGTCTTGTTTTTCTCTACAAAGAATAGATACCATTTGGATAAGTTATTGATTCTATACCTAAATTAGTAAATTTGGAATCACATACCATATACCATTTACAATTTTTTCTCTTCAAAAATAGAAACTGTTATTGGTCCCATATGTATCGTAAATCAGGGCAGATATTCTGCATCTAAGACCTATCTATATAACTTTTCTGTTGTTTAAAGGATGATAAAATTGATTTATTACTAAAAAGGCTAAATGTCTGTAAATTGAATTCTGAATCACTTCAAATTGTTTTTAATTCTTTACAGTATCAATCAGCCTCTACAAAGTACTGTTGCTGTCTAATCTGAACAAAACTGGTACTGGTCTAAAGTGTTCGGATTAGCAGGTGTTCAGATTTCAAGGTTTTTAACAATTTTAATCTATGACAGATTAAAATGGAACAGTAAAAAGTGTTCACATTGAGAGGTATTCTAATCAGGGAATTGTTCAGATATACAGGTAAAACTTGTGCATATTGAACATTTTTTCCTGAGAAAAAACATTGAGTGTCGGTAGGTGTTCATTACAGAGAAGTTAATTTATACAGAAGTCATAGTATATGAAAAATAATGAAACTAAAACACTAGTATTTTGGTTTTCATCCAGTTTGTTTCATTCTGTGTACTGGTTTCAACCATTGTTCTTACAATGATTTCAACCATTGTTCTTACACTGATTTCAACCATTGTTCTTACACTGATTTCAACCATTGTTCTTACACTGATTTCAACCATTGTTCTTACACTGATTTCAACCATTGTTCTTACACTGATTTCAACCATTGTTCTTACAATGATTTCAACCAATGTTCTTACACTGATTTCAACCATTGTTCTTACACTGATTTCAACCATTGTTCTTAGCCTGATTTCAACCATTGTTCTTACACTGATTTCAACCATTGTTCTTACAATGATTTCAACCATTGTTCTTACACTGATTTCAACCATTGTTCTTACAATGATTTCAACCATTGTTCTTACACTGATTTCAACCATTGTCACTGATTTCAACCATTGTTCTTACACTGATTTCAACCATTGTTCTTACATTGATTTCAACCATTGTTCTTACACTGATTTCAACCATTGTTCTTACAATGATTTCAATCATTGTTCTTAAACATAATATACTTATAGCACATTATATTTAGACTGATTTCACACATTAATCTTAGACTCTGATATCATCAGAATAACATTTGGAGATTTTTAAAAAGAGACAAGAAAAGAAATTGGAAATCCAAAATGATTTTGAAATTGAGTCAGCTTTATATAAGTTACCAGTGTCGATTGCAGCAAATAGAAAGGTTTAGTTTAGCGGTTATTAGCCTCATAATCAATAAAATGTCAATTATTTCAATATTTTCTCAACTATTACGTCAAGGATGTGTGGGGCCAAAAACAATAAACCTGTTTTAAAAAATGATTTTTCTATTGTTCCTTTTTTCCCGTGGTCTCTATCCTGTTTAGAGGTTATATTTTATTTATTCCTCGGGTAGGAAAATGCTACGAGCATTAAATTTCTTCAAAATTCTAATAATTCTTTTATATTTTCTTTTGACTTCTGACTTTACTGTTTTGCAACTACTTGTTCATCGCCGTTAGGGTGTTGACGTATGTCACCTGTTTATGGTAAGATCAATACAGGATGATGTTCATCTAAGCAATCTTGACATTTATGATCTTTAAATATTATAAAACATGTTAAATTGATTTTAGCGTGCAATTTTTACTAAATCAATATTTTCTATATTTGTATAATTATTATGGATGTCATGTTACATGAAACTGTCCCATTTTACGGGACATTGGATCCATACTGGAATGGGAACACGAGGAAACACTTTCGGAATAGAATGGGACAAGACAAGTTTAGCACGTTTTCCCTAAACTAATCGTGAATATTTATATGGATATATATCTTTTATTGACTTTTAAAATGTCAGTGTCTCTGACATATGGGTCACTATACAGTTGTTTCCATGTTTCTTTTGTCTATACTGCAGTATATGATGAATACCATTCTTGGCATACGTTTTTAATGGGACATTTTAGAACTATCACTCTTATAAACACTCATGCAGTTAAAACCTTTTGAATCTTACCAGTAATCTCCCCTGGATTTTTTCTCATGTGGGTGCAAAATTCTCATTTTCACAATTCAGACCAAAGTTGGTCAAAATATGCCAATTTTTCATGATTTTTCTCATTTTCAAGTGGGTGCAAATGGATTTTTAGGTGGGTGCAAGCCTATTTTCAAAATTTCAGGTGGGTGCTACGCCCACTTGCTTTAATGCTGAGGAGATCACTGATAGATTTTAGACAATATACTGGTTTTTGTGAAATGCCCAATATTCCATATATACGAAAAATATATATTTACCATTGTAAATTGGCTTTGGATATGAATTGTAAGAATTCAATAATTCTGTCAGTTGTTAGGTTTGTGGTAGTCATAAGGATACAAAATGTAGCCCCAAGAGTCCTAAAAACATCTCTCAGAAAGAATAAAAGATCTATTCTTGTATTTGTTCATAGCCATTAGGATGTTGATGTTTGTCAGTTTTTGCGAGAAGATCAATATAGAATGATGTTCGCTCAATTAATCTATTATGTAAGCCCTATAAATATTAGAGGGTTTGGAAAATTTTATCAAGGACACAGTCTGATTCAAGGTAGTATATTGACTCCATTTTGTACTCCATAATGACTACATTTTGTAGTTTTTTCGACACCACTTATGTCACCACCAAAAAGTGGTGACATATTGTTATGGTCTCTGTTTTTTGTGACTAAGAATGCATGCCCACGGACACATCATGGTCTTCATGAATAATCATACTTTTGTAAATATCTAAGAATGCTTTGTTGACAAGTACATAGTCTAACCTTGATGTAAGATTGTTTCGTGCCCATGTTATTTCGCCGTTGCATCCTTTTGTTGTATTCAAAATAGTGGTATTAGTGACTTCACTTACACATCAATCAATTTTCCATTGTAGCTATTTTTGCCATGGGAAAACTTTTTAATGTGTCCATTGAAGTCACCTATTAAAATAATATATTCATTGCTTCTACTCAATTCATTAATATTAGGGCTTCGCTTATGTGCACATTCTTCCCACCATTTGGGAAATATACAACGCCAAAGCTAAAAACATTATTATACAGCTTAACCTTAAAATTGGCAAACAGATATAAGATTGCGATTTTCATTTTATTTAAAGAGGGACATGGGGTATAAATAGGAGGCAGACTAATGGAACAGCCAAAATAACTGAATTTTTTTATATTTTCTCAAAGCTGGTCAATTTTCTCAAATTTCATATTGATTGTGAAGATGGAATGCTTCAGATTTTGTTATGTGTATCTTTCAATGTTTTGATGTTTTTATTCTGCAATTAGATTATAACTCCATCATTTTGTTTGGTTCTGACAAGGCATTTAAAAACAGTAACAACATTTTTCAAATTTAAAAGTCCTCAAGCTTAGCCAATCAAAATCAAGTATTAAGCAATGCTGTTAATTAAACTTACTTATCCTGACTTTCTGTACCAGGGGAGTTGCTAGCAACTTTAAAACAAAAAAATCTCACATAAGATATAACTCATGGTTTTTTCCTTAATGGTTCAAAATTATTGGTATAATATTCACGTAAGGTAAATGGATAGCATGATCGGCAACTATAAATTACTTTCTTGTATTCTGTTCTTTAGAATCACTTCAGAGAGAGTAGTTATATAATGATGTATGGGAGTTGTGAAAAAATATCCATACAAATGCCCCTTTTAATGAATGGGGTACTTGGACAATAATATCCATGTATGATATATGTCTTGTAGTACAGGGTGTTCCAAAAGTAACAGGACTGGTATTTTGTTTAATTTGTCTTGAACGTTCAAAAAATGTACTTTTAAGTATTTCAACTAGAAATCTGAAGTAATGTAGAGCTATGGTTGCTATGGTAACATGACATCAACATACTTATTAGTCCTGTATAGTATTGTTGAAAAGTATTTATGGTGCAAGTCCGTTCAGGGGATGTACTCATATTCCAATGTGATGCCATTTTCACCTACTATGATCGTTCCCCAAAATGATTTTTCATCATATCAATTAAGATGATTTTAGACAGTGTAAAACTCCCTGTTTATATATAATGGCATAAAATGTTGTAACAAGACAATCAACAATTTCCTTGTGAAGAACTCCAAAAAGTAAGTGAGCCAAGAAATCAATTGATACTATGCTTAGGGATGGCTTCAATATATCAATTACTAATGAATAAATTTAGTTTTAACCTTGACCCTCTCCCCAAAAAAACGAAATACTTTTCTCCTGGAATTTTGTAAAACTTTGTTGTGGAGTTTTAAAGACACATTCATTGGTCTTCTCACTTTTATTTCCTTTGTACTGTTTAAAATATTCATCATCTTTTTTTGTAGCAATCATAATTCATGATCTGTTTTATTTCCTGCTGTAACACAGGCTGGTATCGAAAGATTTGTCCGCTGTGACGGAGCATGCTATTTTTCATAAAAAACACTAAGAATGCTTCACGATTTATTTTTTAACTCATATGTTTCATTATCAAAGATTATTACTTACTCCATGCAATGGATATATCATTTGCGTGTAACCTTCACTTCTGTTTGAAGTCCAATAACGCTAGGAGTAAAATCTATTGAAAACGGCGCCAGAGTATCAAACTCTAAAATGTACCATTTCTTTTTTAACTTTTTAATGGCATGATATAGTGACACGATAATATTAATATATGTTTTCAGCATAACTCTGAATGTATTAATGAGATATTAATGCATTGGGTCTTTTTAATTTTTTTTATAAAAAAAATTATTAATATTTTTTTGTCCGCTGTGACGGAGCATTTTCACAGTTCACATTTGCAACTGCTCCATCACAGCGGACAAAAAAATTAAACATTATTTTTTATAAAAGAATTAAAAAGACCAAATACATCAACATCTCATTTATACCTTCATAGTTATGCTGAAACCATGTGTAAATATTATCGTGTCACTATATCGTGCCATTAGAAAGATAAACAAGAAATGATACATTTTGAAGTATGATACTCCGGCGCCATTTTCAATAGCTTTTCTTCCCAGCGTAATTGGACTTCAAACAGAAGTAAAAGTTACCCGCAAATGATATATCCATTGCATGGAGTAAGTAATTGTGTATGGTATAACGAAATATATGAGTTAAAAAATAAATCGTGAAGTATTCTTAGTGTTTTTATGAAAAGTAGCATGCTCCGTCACAGCAGACAAATATTTCGATACCAGCCTGAGTGTAAGTATTTGAATGGGGTAGGTAATGACTCATTTACATATTTTGGAAATATTGAAATGTTGAAATATGTCGGATAGAACATTAAAACATGTGTTTGCCCCCTCCCCCACACTAAATTTATTTATTTTCATCCAACATTGATATTTTGATGCTACCCCTTAGTTAATGTGAGGCTCAGTCAGTGTTTGTTTATTTAGTTATTGATACATATCATTTTCCATGAATTTATTATCAAAAGTAATATATGATGACACAATCTTCAGTCTTTATCTCGCTCTTTATGACATTGTGTAATTTGGGTTCAATTTGATCTTATACAGTAAAACCTATAAACTGGAACACCTCTATCAGTTGAACACTTTTCAGAGTCCCAAAGCCAATTGATTTAATGATAAATGAACATATATAAGTGGAAACCTCCCAAGTGGAACACTTTTTAGAGGTGGCAAATGTGTTCTTCCAAGACAGCTTTTTTGTACTTTGGACTTAAATAGATTAAATAATGAGTCTGTATTATTTTGTCATCCATATTAGTTCAAGCATGTTCAGACACTCAGTCTTCTCTGCACTCAACACTCAGTCTTCTCTGCACTCAACACTCAGTTTCTCTGCACTCAGTCTTCTCTGCACTCAACACCAAATCTTATCTGTACTCAATACTCAGTCTTCTCTATACTCAAACCTCAGTCTTCTTTACACTCAAAACTCAGTCTTCTTTGCACTCAATACCCAGTTTTCTCTGCACTCAACACTCAGTCTTTTCTGCACTCAACACTCAGTCTTATCTGTACTCAACACTCAGTCTTCTCTGCACTCAACATTCAGTCTTCTCTACACTCAACACTCAGTCTTCTCTATGCTCAAAGCTCAGTCTTCTCTGCACTCAACACTCAGTTTTTTTTTGTCTTAACACTCAGTCTTCTTTGCACTCAGTGACAGATGGGAATCGATTGAAGGAAATGAGATCAAGATCTTGAAAAATAATTTTCAAGAATTTTATTGTTATTAAGGTGAGACGTCTTTTGTGCTCTGACACAATGACAATGGCATGGTTGCAAGAAATGCTTTCAATTGGTATTTGAAGAAATTCTGAAGAAGCTTTACACGTAAAATTACATGAAGCCTTGGGCATAATTTTATGCAAAGAATATGATCTTTCGCTGTTTTTCCCTTATTGTTCCCTCAATTTCAGAATCTTTTTGTCTCTTATCCAAAGTCATATCTTATATTTCTAAGCTAAAATTTTATAACTTTTTAGAGGAAATCAATTTTAATAATTTATAAATATTTCTTGTAACTTTTTCTTTTTCTTTATTTATTTAGTGGCAAATTGTACACATTTGTCTATATTATTTTTTTAAAGAATATTGAATATAAGAATCGGTTCAGAGGAGTATAGTTGTCTCAAAAACTTGTTTTAGGTAGTAAATGTTATTGTTTGTCATTATTTCTATTAATTGTTCAAGTAATAAGAATATCATGATAATCTGAAAAAAATTAACTTAACTCTGGCAAGTAACAAAACGCAACCATGATATTAGTATTAAAGTTTGACCAATTAGGAATATTGAAATGAAAAATCTTACCATAACCACTCTTTATGTAGAGGCTGAAATCGGCAGTTGGTTGCAGATAGGTGTCGCCTGATTCGCCAACTAGGAAGCAAGTTGTAAAGCCAGCATCTACATTCGTGTCAAAGTTTAGCATCTTACAATCGTCTCCTTGTATGACACATCGGAGCATACAATCATCTAATGACTGACTATAGAGTTGATAAATTTTCAGGATGTTACCCATGATCTTGAGTCCCGGCACTTTTAAAAAAGTTGTAGTTTCGCCCAAAACTTTGTTGATGATCACTAATATAAACCAGAAAGCTTTTTGTCGCCACTCCATATTTGGTGTCCTGTTGTTATCGTAGATTTTGTATTCTTCGGAGTATTCCCGTTAAGTTTTTTTTTGAGTATTTCTTACTTACTAACCCGTATCATGTGGTTAATCGTGTATTTTAGTATGTGTCAATGATAGGCAAATATCATCTTTATTTGGCTTATTGTTACTCAATGTTATGTTTTCATTCTTCATGTTTTTCTACTCTTTCATTATTATTCCAATGCCATCTTCTAATGCATTAGACCAAATAGAACCACACTGTTTTAGCACAATACCTCCAAATCTTCAGAACCGATCAACCTGTATATAAATCCTCCTCTATAGGATAGCAACCTTCTAATTAGCAGTACCCTTTTCCAGAGCTATCAATCATTTTTGTCATACCCTCTTAGCATGAGCGATAAATCTCTGAACTTGTTTATTGGATTCACTCAGAGTCAGTGGTTTTCTTGATATGTTTAAATCAGTGATTTTCTGTATAAGTTCTTTCTATAGAAGTATGTGAACATGGCATCATTGCTTGCTTATTGGTTGAAGCCAAACTGAGAAAATGATCAATCCTTAGTTGTCAGAGTGAAGTATTCTAGTATTACACTAAGCTAGTTAATCAGGGTAATTAGCAGCAACTCATAAACAGAAAAAAGCTATTTTTCCGCGATTCGAGTTATTTATGAAATTAAATATTTATTGTATTCTACCATCGAATAAATTGTATTTATTGTAGCACTGAGATACAATTCCTTAGAAAAATGCAAAAATTCAATTTAGAAAATTAATCAATCAAAAGGCTATAATCTCTGGGCTGAATCTGCTCATTAGCCTAGTGATTATGATATTAAATCAAATAACCCTTTATTTCAATGATCAATTTTCTTAAGTATACACTTCCTCTCATGCCATAATAAAAGATAGCCAAGTGGAGATTGAACTACTGTTGTAATGTGTATTCAATGATCGATTACCAGTTAGTCCTTCATTGATGAAATATCAATCAGGTATTCTTATTATCCCACCGAGCCAAGTTCGAGTAGGATATAGGAAAGCAGTTCGTCTGTCCATTCGTCCATCCTTCCGTGTCCATCCATTTGTCTGGGCAATAACTCAAATACCAGTTGACGGATTTGAAATTTTATAGGCTTATGCCTTATGGGGTAAGAACCTCTGTTTGAGAAGAAATTTTCAATATGGGCGCTCAATTCGAAATGGCCACCATTTTTCGTAAAAAAAGTAATCTTTGATAACTCAAATACCAGTACACGGATTTGGTTCAAATTTTATATGCTGATGCCTAGGAACAAAGGAGCTTTGCTCAAGAAGACATTTTCAAGATGGCTGCTAAATTCCAAAATGGCCGCCATTCTTCATAAAAAAGATAATCTTTGATAACTCAAATACAAGTAGACAGATTTTGTTCAAATTTTAAATGCTGATGCCTAGGGACAAAGGCGGCTTTGCTCAAGAATACATTTTCATGATGGCTGCCAAACAATATGTCTGCCATTTTTTGTAAAAGAACGTAATATCTGATAACTCAAATACCAGTAGATGGATTTTATTCAAATTTTTCATGGTGATGCCTAGGGACACAGGAGCTTTGTTCAAGAATAGATTTTCAAGATGGCTGCTATTTATCAAAACATGTTTTGTTCGGTGACATTTGCTACTCCGTAGATTTACTTTTTTCTAGTTTATCCCATGGTTAATATTTTATCTGTACAATAACGCCAAGGGGATTTCTGATATTAAGGAGGTCTGTTAATTTTTCAGAAAACTGTGTATCAGCCGCATATATAGCTGATATCAGTTATCAACTTATCAGCCACTTATCAGCCACTTATCAGCCACATATCAGCCACATATTTCAAATATTCCATTCCATCCCAGTGAATTTTTACTGACAATTTGAGCCTTGTTATCTCCCAGAAAAAAACAACCGTGGCTTTATTTTTCACCATAGATAAAAAACAACCTTAAGATTGATGCTCCTTTAATGGTGATTAATCATCACGTAGGATTTAATTGGTCGATTATTGTTGATTCATGGAGTTAATCTACGTCCGAGTCTTGTTTTGTAAGAAAGGATCATGGGATATTGAAAATTGATTTTCCAGTATTTGTGGGTCATATGCGTAGCGCACGTCATAGATGTCATTTTTATGTTGGTTTCTGGAGTACATCTTGACTTAATTATCAATTTTATGTATTATCGTACATAAAATATCTATTAATGTTCAATTAAATATGATGATCTCTGGTTTACGTTGGTTATCAGTGCACAGCATACAAACGAAACTGTATTTCTTGGGTGAGATTTCTTAACAATAATGATAATATTGATTCTTTTGAATTGCAATCTTTCTAATGAGACAACGATATCAGAAATTAACATATAGGTCCCTAGTACAATTGGTCACAAATGAACATATGGGTATGGCCAAAAAAAAATTCAATTTTGGGTCACAAATTGAAAACATTGGTTGAAAAATTAAGAACTTTGTTCACAAGTAATCGAAAGAACGAAACAGTCGTGAACAAACATGTCGGTCAAAAACGAGAAAATACAAGTTTTATGTCACCACCACTGCTACCCACCTAGTTACACAGACATATCGTCAGTGTATCGTGGCGGAACTACTTCCGGGACTAGGTTTCGGTAAGATTTTTTTATTTCTCGATTTACATCTACTTATAAGTCACGTTGTGGATAATAATTTGGCTCGAAGTTAAGGAAGATAGTCTAGTTTGAGAATGTGTGGATGGTTTTAGGTTTTATATGTTAACGAAGACACAATTCACGTATTTAGTCCCTCGCTTTTGTTACACTGACGAACGACCAATATTGGCAATATTATTGCCGATCGTCAGTGTAACAAAAGCAAGGGACTAAATATGTGAAATGCGTCTTCGTTAACATACCAAACCTAAAACCATCGACACATTCTCAAACTAGACTATCTCCCATAACTTCGAGCCAAATTATAATCCACATCGTGTCTTAGTAGATGTAAATCGAGAAATAAAAATATCTTACCAAATTCAAATCCCGGAATTCGAAGTAGTTCAGCCATGATACACTGACGATACGTACCTGAAATGAAACAGCTAAATTGTGTTTTCTGTGTTTCCAGGCAACAGAAGAACGAGCAACTCTCTCTGGATCTCTACAGTTCTGCGTCAACAAAACCGCGATATACTCTCCACATAGTCGATCACCCCAAACAGCGAGCAGCCAACAGATTTGCAGTATTTATAGTACCTGAGGGGAGGTAATGTTCAAATTATCAACAGAAAAAATCATTTTTAAACTTTATATTAAAATATTTGCATTTTGCCTCATACAATGCATTTAAGACCATTTTTCTTTCGATGGTTGAAGAAATCAGCAAATGAATATCAGGTTTGTCACCATGGAGACAATTGTGTCTCTATAGGGATGTTAAGTCATGTTTTGCTGATCTTCAACTCCAAATATACACTAGTATTCAGGGTTTTTATTTATTTATTGAGAGTTCATACACTTGGATAATGAAAGAAAATGTATTATTTTGTCATCCATATTAGTTCAAGCATGTTCAGACACTCAGTCTTCTCTGCACTCAACACTCAGTTTCAAAATGGGCAAATGTCAGACCCATTACTATTTTATTTATTATACCTACCGTATGATATTGTTACACTTGAAAATCTTTTGCTTAACAAAATTATTAATCAATGTCCCTATCCTACTGGGAGTTTGGTCTTGTTGAAAGTTTCCACCGACTTTTATCTCTCTCGACTGATGTTTGAATTGTACTGTAATTGAGTTATCAGTTTTTGTTTCAATAAAATATAAAACCAAGGATAGATGACTCTGAGACAATATTTAGTTTATAAAGCAGACACTAAACGCCCATTTTGAATTCATGAGAAATCTGAACTATTTGTTATTTTGGTGTGAAATTAGGAATTCATTGACAGGGTTTCCTCTGAGGATCCAAATAAAATCGATTAAAATGAACAATGATTGAAATTGAATAAAGGATGAAAGAAAAGTATTAGATTGTTCATTTGTTAAAATAACAACTCTAAAGGATGTTACCCTTTTCCTAGGGTACCTGTAATTTGATCATTTTCTTTGATTTCAATTTCCTGAAAACATTTACAAAATGTCAATTATCGCCCACAGGTTATTTTTTATGATTTCACAACGATTATGTAAACATTGGATTTGTTTGTAAGAATGTTATTGCATAACCGTTAGACTGCAATAAAAGAATGTAAAAATCTCAGAGGAGTTAACTGAATGTTTATCAATAAACTTATATAATTTAAGCATTTTTGTGACACTTCAAGGTACGGTAGCCAGGGGGCATCAGTTTTTTAATGTTTTTTTATTAGGACATAAATAACCAATTTTTACAATGATTAATTGGCATGGCAAAACACCTTGTTATTATTTCCTTTTGTGTTCAACATTCCCAAGATTTGTTGAAGCAAAGAATTTGTGTTTCTAGCTTTTTCCAAGCTAGAATGCCTAGAATACAGTACATTAAATGTCTGTAACACTTTTGTATTGACAATATGCAAATATGGCAGCCATTTTGAATAGACTGCCAATTTTGCATGTGACATTTTACATTTTTATTTTACATTACAGCTGAGTAGTAATATTGACATTTTTTAATGTTTATGTATTTAACGGTTTTCTTCTACTCAGGGAAACAGAATGGCTGTTCTCAAGTGACGAAGGCAGACGTCAACTATCTGATAGTGCTGGATTTGGTCGTCTGGTAGTTGTTAGTCTGAATAGAGACCACAGTTACGCAGGGTTGGAGTCAGTGAAGAATGAACTCTCAGAGAAAGTGCTGGAACTGGCTCCTGCTGACCTTGGACGTATTCAGGTATGTAGCATAGCTGGTCAATGGGCATGTTGTAAGTTTGACCAATGTAGTAGCAGTATTATCGGTCATTATTACCACCTTGCCGGGCCTGTTCTAGGGGTATTAGTGCAAGTTTAGAAGGCATTTATCTTACTATATTGACCTGAGGAATATGTGACGTCATAGTGGTGGGCCATAGTGGCGGGCCAATAATGTATTAACGTCCGGCAATGTTCCCCGGGAAATGAGATATCATTCAATGCGTATCATTTTCGTTCAGTGGTACTCAGTTCTTTTTTTCAGCCCTGGGCATAAATGGTGGTAATAATATTAATAACGTCATTGATGTGGGCAAAATAGTGAGATATTGGTCCGATATATTTCACTTTATCTCACGATTAATGTGTTATCTGTACAATAACAGCTATTGATATTTCTGATATCATTGAAATCTGTGATATTTTCCTGAAAATCGTTTATCAAACTCATATGCGTGTGATATCGTTTATCTCACGCATATCCGTGTGATATCACATTTGCATTTCGCGCCACAATATTGTTGGAAATTAGGTCAGATAATTTATTCTCTTTTGAGAAAATAGGTCCGTTAATTTATTCTCTTTAAGTTTCATTGGTGTATTAAATTACGCTTGTGTATATAATTTGATTAGAAGGCTGCTAAATAACGATTAAAAAATTGTATTTATGACAAACTATATCACAAGGTGATCGTAATCATGGGATAAACCCAATATCACATAATTTCTCGTGATATCATTTTATCGCCTTGTAGATATCAAATATCAACACTCATTCGCTTCGCTCACTCGTGTTGATATTTGATATCAACTCGGCGATAAAAATGATATCACTCAAAATGATGTGATATTCTGTATATATTGCCCTTTGAAATGACGTTATTGTACTGTCATTATACAAGTTAGCCTGGTTGATACGAAAAATCTGGACCAAGGAAAAACATGACGTTGTGTGAAAAATAGGAGGATGTGATTTATTGGAAAGGTCTATTGTTGGTGATTTACTGTGAGAAATTCTAGTACGGTGCCTTTCCTGCAGTAAATTCTTACCGTAAAATTGATTTTTATCATTTTATTTTATCATTTGTAACAAGCATTATGTTAAACTTCAAAAGCTAATGTGATAAAATGCAAAAACAACTTTTATTTCAAACTTTACATGTACATGTTTGATGTTTTATTATCTTTGGTCTTGTGTAGGTACCTTTCCTCTCTGCTGGTGATGACATCAACAAACGTCAAGTTCGTTACCGTGGCAACAGTGAGATGAGTGGTAATTATGTCGTTGAAGATGTTGAAGTTGACAATGGTGCTACATTCCGTCGATTAATCTTCTTAGCCAATCAAAATATTGTCCAATCTGAAGCTAAGCTAAGGAAAGGTGATATATTAAAATATTTATTAACGACATGCTTTACTATTTATTTATTTATTTTTATATTAAGTTGTAATTGAATAAAGATGTTTACATAATTCACAAAATTCACATCTAAACCCAAAACTCACTTCAGATCACAAGGGCATGACTACCGCAGTTTTAGATGAGATTCAAATGGGCTACCTAATAAATAATCTATTAATGACCTCACCTCTGATTATCGTCAGTAAAGTGGCTATGTTTATGTGATTCTAAATACAATAATGTTAGGGGTTTATGGGGCATTATATATCTTAGGGGTTCTCACCTTGATTGATACCCAGTGTCATTCTACGAAAACAACCCGTATTTTTTTCTAAATGACAGTAGCGCCAATGTGGTATATTTCTTCAGGCCGTTTAAGATTAATTATACAGTGATCTCCCCATCATTAAAGCAAGTGGGCGCACAGCACCCACCTGAGATTTTGAAAATAGGCTTGCACTCGCCTGAAAATCCATTTGCACCTACTTGAAAATGAGGAAAATTGGCATATTTTGACCAATTTTGGTCTGATTTGTGAAAATGAGAATTTTTGCACCATCTCTGAGAAAAAATCCTGGAGAGGTACTTATTGTTCCTAAAAAACTGTAAACTGAAAATGTTTGTTCCAAAATCCATAAAATGATGAAGTAAAAATGTCTTTTTTTGATGTGGTCTTTATTGCTGAAACACTAGTTTACTTCAATGAATGTAATTTTCAGATTTATGCAAGCAAAATGTTGTATCTGTATTTGTAGTTGTATTTGTATGTATAATGATCAGTATTAACTTCAAATTCTAATTTTCTCATGTCCTATTGTGATTTAACCTTAAAATTCTGATCATTAATAAAGTCAATAAAATTTAAAGATTTTTATACCAGTCAGCCAGTCAGCAATAATTTCAAATAAGAACAGAGTGTCAGAAATGTATGGGACCCCCTAGACAGATATTATACCAATGTCTCCATATTATGTGCTATATATCATTTTAAAGCTTATTCAAAGTTACATTGATTTGCCAAGTATCATGGTCCAAGTCACAAATGGGAAAAAGTTACAGGCATTTCAAAATGTAGTGTTTTGCCAAAATTGAAGGTCAGTTCAGTATCCTGGAAACAGCCATGACCTGAATGTGACCAAAAATATGGGTGATATTGTCAAAGATAGGATGGGTACTAACCCCTATCTAATCTTAATATTTTTTGATTTGAACTCTTTTTTGTCCCATTTTTGAAATCTGCCATAGATTTCCATGTTTAAAAACTTACTCGACTCTGTATTTAATTATTTTGTTTTACAGAGTCTGGCCGTACAAAAGGTGGGAAAAAGAAGGCTGCTAAATTTGTAGTTGACCCTACATATCTTGCAAATGAGCATCACCATTCAATGGTTGCTGGCCTCGTGTTAGTGGACAACTTTAAACAGATCTTGGGTGAGTACGTAGATTCATAATCCGAGAACACCAAATTACTTCAAATATTTGTATTCAATTACCCAAATGCGAGTAGGTAGTTACCAGTTTCACCACCAGGTGGCTGACTCGGGTCAATTAACATGGCAGGTATATAAAAAAGTTCCCTTAAACTTGAATATTATCAATTTAACTCGCTCAATTTTCATATAACCCTTATGGGTCTGATACTTATACTCATTAAAATATGTCCAGTAAAGCAAAATATTATCTGTCCACTAAAAGAAAAGATATTTCATTTTTTGTGATTTTATAGCATGGGGTCTATGGGGAATCTCCCCGAGCTAGAAGTCACATTTTCAAAGAAAATTAATTTTTCAAAGTTGATAAACACTTTTTAAAACCATATTACTAGATGTAATTTTACATGTAGATTTCAAATATGATATTACATTGACTGAATTTTGAATTTTTAATGACGTAAATCAAGATTATTTCTTCTCGCATCTGGGTTATTGTCCATGCCTTATTTGTTGGTGTACAAATGATTTTGAGAACTATTACCCCCCTAGAGTAACATTATATGGGGGTGTATATCATCATTCTATAATATGAATAATATTTTTGCTAAAGTTCTGATTTCTAAGTTAAATGTTAGTATTCTAGGAGTTAATAATGTTCAAAATCATTCAATTGGTCCTCTGACTTCCCAAAACCCTTACTTGAGACCTAAATAGATGCAATTTTCAATAATAGATGTCAGTCTAGTCAACACATGATGTTTTCTAGTCTATGGCAAAGTTGGTTCTATACTTGGGGAACACAACTAAATGCAATAACATTTCTTTTCCCATACAAATGATCTGTCTTTTAGAGAAAAATAAGATTTGTGGCCATGTTTTGCTAATCATGCCATCACACCCAAGTAGCAATACACAGTAAATAAGAATATGCTTTTTCTATCTCTTTTTGAAAATATAACCAATGTTGCGACAACCTTTAACCCTAAAAACATTCTAAAAAAATCATACCCAAATAGGTCCTCTCTCGGTCAAAGAAGTTTGAATCAAAACTCCCAACGAAAATCAAAAGATCTTACCTGTTGAATACGCCATCTATAGAAAATGTCAAAAATTTTCATTTTGATTTTGACAAATGGAGGGAGGTCAAAACGTAAATTTCTAAAGAAAATGCACCCTGATCATATCAAATCATGAGTACAGTTGGTCCATACATACACGTTTTCATTTCCGGTGATGCTGTAATTCCAAAAACTGGACTATATTCTTGCTTTTAAAACGCCATCTATTCTTCTAACCACTCCAGCAGAAGGATCAATTGGTTTTGTGGTCTTGTTAGGTTTCCTGTTCATGCTCAGATCTATGTTATAATGTAGAGAATAGATGTCACACTATGCTTGTCTGATTTATAGAATTCATAATTCAAAATTGAAGATAAAGTGGAAAACAATATTTCCCATGTTATTTTTGGCCAAAGTTTTGAAATGCCTGTAACTTTTTCCCATTTGTGACTTGAACCATGATACTTGGCAAATCAATGTAACTTTGGATGAGCTTTTAAATGATATATAGCACATAATATGGAGACATTGGTATATATCTGCCTTGGGGAGACCATACTTTTTTCAGGACACCCTTTATATAGGAACATGTTTCTTAAACACCTATCTGATACTTTGAATACCTCTCTAAATGTAACACTTCTCTAATGTAATCAAATCAGAATACCTCTCTAAACTGAACACCTCTCAAGGCAACATTTGTTTAAAGGGAATGCCGGAATGCCTCTGGAAAGGCAGTAACTCTCTTAAGTGATTACCTTTTTAAAGGCAACACCTCTCTTAAGTGAAGACCTCTTAAAGTAAACGGTCCTATTAAAACCTTCTAATATCACCAAGCCATTAACTCAAAAATATTGTGAAATTTATAATATCACATGTTTTATATCAAAAATTAACCAATTTTTTTTCAATCTATTTATTTCCTTCATATTGATATGAATACAAAAGTATGCCTTTGTTAACTTAATAACATTAGCGGCATAGTAAATATTAAAAATATAATACAGGAATTAACACAATACAAAAACCACATAGTATTTTCAGTCTGTTAACCCAATTAACCCATTCATAGCATGGGATATTTAAAATGAGGAATTCTTTTTAAATAGTCAATAATTGTTTGAGGAAATATATTATTTTTGAACATAGTGTTTGCTGGAGTTTGAATTTGATAATTTAATTACAACCTAACCTCTTATTATTCAGCCTGACTGTACTGTCAGGAAGTTTCTTAAACTTGAAAAAGATTTATGTTTTTTCAAGAACAAGTTTCTGAAACTTGAAAAAGATTTATGTTTTTTCAAGATCATATGAATATGAAACATGAATCAGAAAAATTACCAACTTTTCAATACTTCCTTGTGCTGGTATTCTACCTATAAATATTTGCTAGATGCTAAATTTAGTATAGTCATAAATGGACAGGGGAGATACCCATGGACCACAAGAACAATTAAATAGAGGAGAACTGACACAATGTTCAATATTGGAACAATGTTTTTCTATCAGTTGCTGGTGGCTTTACTGTTAAATGTATGTGTAACAGTGCATGGAAATTCTAACGCTACATCCTTGAAAAGAACGGAATTGGAAGAAATGAAAAATAAAAACAACTGTAAGCTGTGCACCTGTGTTGGTCTCATTGCTGACTGTACCTCGAGAAACCTGAAGTCATTGCCACAAGATTTACCACAAGATATAACAACCCTTAACTTAACCAACAATAGCATAACACATTTGCCAGATGGGTTGCTAGGGCAGCTCTATCAAAGTCTGAAAGTGTTGGACATTGATGGAAACAAGATCACCGCTTTTGGACAATATGTCTTTGATGGACTTCAAAATCTGGAGTTTCTTGGGATAGGTGCAAATCCATTTAAACCAGAGCTATTCCACCATCTTGTTTACAAGCCATTAAAAAACATACGCACCATTTTTGTGTCCAGGTTTGGAGACGAATCAAAGCATGACTCTAGGATACCTTTATTCAATGCATTTGAAGGGCTACAAAATTCTACAATTGAGGCTATTATATATGAACATATAACATTTGTTCCTTTTTTACTTGAAAAGAAATACATGCAATTTTTTCAAAATTGCCATCTGAAAAAGTTAGTCTTACCCGAAAATAAAATATATGCATTTGAACCAGGATTTTCCAAATTTATGCCTCACTTAGAAATTGTCGATGTGTCTCGAAATTTAATACAAGGAACAATGCCGGTTAATAATAAAGTTTTAGAAATTTACTTGATGCAGTTTCTTAAGGTGATAAAAATAGAAGGCAACACACAAGGAGCATTTCATAAAGATAAACCATTTGTGCCATTTTCCAAAGAAATGAGTGAAATAGAATGGGCAGTTCCTTTAGCTCTTGAGGAGCTGTACCTCACAGAGAGCACAGTAGATACTGTACCTTATCATTTTCCATATGGAGTGAAGTTGCAACGTCGGAATAAGGTTAAGATTATTGAAGCCTCGTCAAGTTTCATCATCACTTACATGGGTGGCCCTTTCAAAGGATTAATTCATTTGGAGAAATTCATATATAAAGACAATGAGTGTGTTTTCGTACCTGATTTCTTCACATGTGAGACAGGATACTTTGAAAGTTTAAAGGTTCTTGATTTGACCAACAATAGAGCAAAACTTTCTTCATCTAACTCTTCTGTCCGCCTATTCAGAAACTGTTCACATCTGCAGAATGTTGACCTGTCATTCAATGATATTACGAGTGTTGACTCTGATGCATTTGTTGACACAGTTCGACTTGAAGTTCTGAACTTGAGTGGCAACAAGATTAAACTGTTAAATATTACACTTGCTGAACTTAAATCGCTTGGACACCTTAATTTGTCACACAATTACCTAAAAACTATAGATGAACACACGAGGAAGGAAATTGATGAACTTGTAGAAACTTCAACCAAAAATCTAACAATAGACCTCAGACAGAATCCTCTTATCTGTAACTGTGATTCATTCATGTTCATTCACTGGATGCAGGCACAAAGTGGGATCATGTACGGCTGGTCACAAGTTACATGCATTTACATTAATGGCTCGGAGATAGCAATTAAGGACCTTATATTACCAGACATGAAATGGGACTGTTGGAGAGCAGTGATAATTCCATCAATGGTATCCTTTGGACTTACTGTACTTGCCATTGTGATTGGGATATTTGTCTACAGACGTAGGTACAAAATACAGTATCTTCTTCTTCATGTGAAGGCTTTACTTCGACGTCATCAACATGGCGATTTTGAATTTGATTTTGATGGGTTTATGAGTTATAGCTCCTTAGACAAAAACTGGGCACTGACCAACATATATGCACATCTGGCCAACAAATACAAGTATAACATTTGCATGGATGACCGCAATTTCATGCCTGGTGCTTACATAGCTGATGTTATCGTTGAAAGTATCAGCAAAAGCAACAAAATAATTCTGATCATCAGCCAAAATTTCCTCCGTAGTGGCTGGTGTACATTCGAAATGAACCTTGCAAGAGGAGAGCTAGCCACCAGGGGTAGGGACTGTTTGATATTGATACTAAAGGAACCTGTGGATGTTCTACCCCCAGAGCTGATCACACCCACCCTCCGCTCCTTGATTGAGACACGTGTATACCTGGAATGGAGTGAGGATGAGGATAGGAAGCAGCTGTTCTGGAGAAAGATGCAAGATTCTTTAGGTGATCCTAGATATCAGGGAGAAGAGGATACACAATATTTGTATCAAAGTAATGATGGTGACAATGAAGTTTTAGAGCAACTTATTGAATAAAATAATATAACCTTTATAACATAATGCTAGAACTGCTCATTGGATTTACTTCAAAGGAGCACGTAGGTTATCACAAACAATTTCAGGTTCTTTTTGGACAAACCTTGTATATCTCATGCAGATGATCTAAGGATTTTCAGAAAAAGGTCCATTTATTCCAGTGTTATTGTTAAGTGAGTATGTGTCTATGAAACACTCTGTAGATAATTAGACTCCAGATGAAAATCTGGAGTCTATTGCTTTTGCCAGTTTTCTTTATTAGACTCCAGATTGAAAATCTGGAGTCTATTGTTTTTGCCTGTTTTCTTTATTATTATTATTCTTTTTTCTTCCTCCTCACCAAATTTCTCGTTAACTATAACAGCTTACTTAATCCAACTTACATGGTTAACTAAGGACTGAATCCGGCTTTCTGGGAAATTAGGTCAAATTTTTATCTAGGTCAAAGGTCAAGAACTAGGTCAAATCCAGTACTTTGTCACTTTTTCCCATTATCTCGGTCGTCCTTCAATATTTTTGATCCTGGTTTTTTTCATTGTGTTCCTCATAAAAAAGTAGAAAACCTAGGTTCGATTTAGTTTTTTGGTATCTCAAAGCGATTTCGAGATATCAGTGTCCGAAAACGAGGTCCAAAAAAAATTTCTCCGAATCCAATGTCCAGGATATCAGTCTTATAGAAAATTTTCTCAGGATTCCGAATCTGAAAACTAAATTTCGATCTGATTTCTGGTTCAGAAGTTATGGCGTTTTGAAAATTCAAAAATCGCTAAATTTGGTGCCCCATGTTAATTCAATGGGAAAAAATATTTTTTTGAAGTGTAAAATACGAGATATAGACTAAGCACAACTAAACATAATGGAAGCCCATAAAAGAAAGGGACCACAAGACCTTCTTTTTATAAAAATTTGGACACCAAAGTGCCTAGGTCAAAATCTAGGTCAAATTCAAAGTTTTTCCTTATTTTTGCGATTCTGACACTACAGATTAATTATATTCTTCGAAATTTTGTATACATGTAGCCAAGAGTGTGCTAATAGTGTTAGCCTTTTGCCGTCAGAAAGTATTTTGACCCACTTTTGAGATATGGTGTCCGAAAAGTAGGTCAAACTAAAAAGTTCTCCAAATTTAACGTATGAGTTATGAATTAAGGGTAGAATTTTCTCAGGAATCCAAATCTGCAAACCAAATTTCAATCCGACTTTTGGTTTGGAAGTTAAGTCGTTTTGAAAGCTCAAAAATCGTTAAATTTGGTGCCCCATGTTATGGCAATGGGAAAAAAGATTTTTTTGAAGTGTAAAATACGAGATAAAGACTGAGTACAGCTTCACATAATGAACGCCTATAAAAGAAAGGGACCTCAAAAGCTAGCTAGCTTCACAATTTGGTCACCAAAATGCCTAGGTCAAAATCTAGGTCAAATTTATAGTTTTAACTTATTATTGCGATTCTGACACTACACTTTAATTATTTGCTTCAAAATTTTGTATACATGTAGCAAAGAGTGTGCTAATAGTGTTAGCCTTTTGCCGTCAGAAAGTATTTTGACCCAATTTTGAGATATAGTGTCCGAAAAGTAGGTCAACATGAAAATTTCTCCAAATTTAACGTATGAGTTATGAATTAAGGGTAGAATATTCTCAGGAATCCGAATCTGCAAATCAAATTTCAATCCGACACCCGGTTTGGAAGTAATGGTGTTTTGAAAAATTAAAAAATTGGTATTTTGATATCCAATGTTATGTCAATTATCTTTGTCACTATTTGTCGTTATTCCTTTATCTTTTTTTCATCATGTAGCTTAAAGACAGTCCTTTCATTATTGTAACTGTCTTTTTTGATTACTCTTACCGATTTTGAGGAATGGCGTCCGGAAAGTAGGTCAACATAAAAAGTTCTCAAAATTTAATGTATGAGTTATGACACAAACATAGAATTTTCTCAGAAATTCGAATCTGCAAACCAAATTTCGACCCAAATTCTGGTTAGATAGTTATAGCTGTTTGAAGTCTCGAAAAGTCGATATTATGATATCCCCATGTTAAGCCAATGTAGACGAAGATAAGCTACTTAAGAGTTGTCTAAATGTCTGTATTCTAGATGACTAAGCTTATTCTGAATGGCTCAGCTTACAGTATTTTGGATGACTTAGCTTAAAAAGAGTTTTAAATCTGGAGTCTTAAATTGAACTTGTTCAATTTACATGTCTAGTTATTATTCTTCCTCTTCCTCCTTACAAGATTTCTCACCAACTAGAAGAGCTTACTTTAAGCTGCTTACATGATCAATTAGGGAATGTATCTGGGATGATGGGAAATTAGGTCAAATTTTTATCTAGGTCAAAGGTCAAGAACTAGGTCAAATCTTGCATTTTCAACATTCTTTCAATTATCTTCGTCGTTATTTATTGAAACAACTTTGTCTTTTTTTCATCATGTAGCTTAGAAACAGCTCTTTCAAAGATATGCCATCAGATTTTTAATTACTCGTACCGATTTTGAGATATGGCGTCCGGAAAGTAGGTCAGAACAAAAAGTTCTCCAAATTCAACATGTGAGCTATGAAATAAGTGTAGAATGATCTCAGGAACCTGAATCTGCAAACAAAATTTCGATCCGACATCTAGTACGGAAGTTATGGCGTTTTGAAAGCTCAAAAATCGCTAAATTTGGTGCCCATGTTAAGTCAATGGGAAAAAAGATTTTTTTGAAGTGAAAAATACGAAATATAGACTGAGTTCAGCTAAATATAATGGAAGCTTTTGAAAGAAGGGGACCTCAAAAGGCATCTAGCTTAAAAATTTGGACACAAAAATGCCTAGGTCAAAATCTAGGTCAAATTCAAAGTTTTTCCTTATTTTTGCGATTCTGACACTACACTTTAATTATATTCTTCGAAATTGTGTATACATGTAGCCAAGAGTGTGCTCATAGTGTTAGCCTTTTGCCGTCAGGAAGTATTTTGACCCACTTTTGAGATATGGTGTCCCAAAAGTAGGTCAAAATAAAAAAATCTTCAAATTTAACTTATGAGTTATGAATTAGGGGTAGAATTTTATCAGGAATCCGAATCTGCAAACCATATTTCGATCCCACTTCCGGTTCGGAAGTTATGGCGTGTCCAAAAAGTAGGTCAAAATAAAAAAATCTAAATTTAACGTATGAGTTATGAATTAGGGGTAGAATTTTGTCAGGAATCCGAATCTGCAAACCAAATTTCGATCTGACTACTTGTTCTGAAGTAATGGCGTTTTGAGATCTCAAAAATCGCTAAATTTGGTGCCCCATGTTAAATCAATGGGACCGAATAATTTTTTGAAGTGTAAAAATACGAGATAAAGAATGAGTACAGCTAAACATAATGAAAGCCCATAGAAGAAGGGGACCTCAAAAGCTACACTTTCCTTCAAAGTTTGGACACCAAAAATTCCTGCATACCCTACTTTACCTCTCTACCTACTCAGCTACTTATTTGACTACTTACTCAATTACTTAATTAGTTATTACTTACTTAGCAACTTACTCAGCTACTAACTCAGGTACTTACTCAGCTACTCACTCAGCTACCTACTCAGCTTTTTACTCACTTACTTACTCAGCTACTTACTCAACTACTACTAAGGTACTTACTCAGCTAATTACTCAGTTACTTACTCAGCTCTTTACTGATCTATCTAGGTAAAATAAATCTGGAGTCTTAAATTGAACTTGTTCAATTTCACAAATCTAGTTATTTATGTATTCTAACTTGGAGTTCATAAAGAAAGAAATATGTAAAGGAACTGTACATATTCAAATCATGATTATTCCAGAAATAAAACAATCCCATGAGGAAATAATTCAGTTTATGTTAATTCTGTTCCTTACTCACTGGATCAAATTTAATTTCTATTCTGAGAAACATATCAAAATGTTTTGTGCATGAAATGGCACTCACAGTAGTAGTATATTACAATAATTGTCCAATTATGTTGAACATTGAATTGTTATTTACATATACTTAAGTCAAGTTTGGTTCAATAGTGTTTTTTCTTTTCAACATGACATGAAGATGAATATAAATTCATTATAAATATTTTTAAGCATCTGTATTTCCTGACATCCTTTTTTTCATTTATGTTCCTTGTTGGTTTTGATATCTAGGCCTATTGAAAGATGGCACTGATCATTTGTCTATTTCTCTTTTTTGCTAGTTCTGATATTTATATTATGTTTTTTAACTAATAACCTAGTGGTTTGATCTTTTTGGGCACTATTTAGAGTAAGAAAAGAAACAATACAATGTGTGAATGTATATTTTGGGGTTTTGGTGGAGGGTTGAAGTGAAGATTGGAGATACACTTTTGTACTTTTATCTTCTCTTCATATTAATCTTAATTTGGCTTAGTCCTTGTGGTTTTAATATTAGTTTGTTCAATAGCAAAATCATAATTCCCAACAGAGTTTCAAATGCTGTGCTATTGTTTTTCTAGTGATGCTACATCTTCAGTGTGAAGGTTCTGAAATTTTTTATCATCGAATAGCAATATAATTTTTATGTCACCACCACAAGCAGTGACATATTGTTATAGTCTCCAACTTTTTTATGGACAGTGTTCGGTTGTTGGCATTCTGCGGTCAGCACTTGGTGATCAGCATTCAATGTCTGTAACAAATGGCAGGTGGTGACATTTTGCATATTAATGCCTTGTTTATGAGGTGTGGAGATATGATACGATTGCTAATCTGCTTGTTTTATTAACTACTGCAGTCTGGGTTAACATGGTACATATTTTATTAACTACTCCTTTAAAATGGTTGATCCAGAGCAATAAAGGAATATTGCTGATCTTAACGATCTGGTCCCTCTGATTTAACTTTTTATGAAGTTTTGACTAAATATGTCTCCCTGACAATTCATCCATGTATTAATAGCACATATAATAGTGAAAATATTATTTATTTATTTTATTTATAATTTTGTAATAATAAACATGTATTGAATAGGAAGGTAGAAGCTCATAAACGCCTGTATAGTGAATGTATCATACAATGCAAATGGGTGAATATTTACCCTAATGTGCATTCTTTTGATTATTGGTAAAATTGGATAAACAAATGTTAATCGCAGTAAAAATCGTTTTCTGAAAACCTCTCTAATCAGAAAATGTCTCAATTTGAATGCTTTAAAAATCATTTTTATGTCACCACTTAACATATTGTCATGTTAAAAAATCCTTGAAATGTGAACACCTGCCAATCTGAACACCTTGGGCTGGTCCCATTGGCATCCCTCATCAATTACACTGGACGAAACGTTCTAAAAATTGCCTAAAGTAGGGGTCATTGTAACAGCTCCCACTCGGCCAATATTTTAACAATTTTTGTTTTCTTTACATGGAATGAAAGATGAGTATTCACTACAAATGTACAAATGCAACATGCTGTATTACGGCTTTGAAAAGGGGTGAAAATCACTTTGATAGTTATATACAACCTTTAACTATCTGCCCTGCTGGTAGGTCTAGGGGGTGGTGGTTTACCCCACTTCATACATATGTTTTAGTATTGATTACATGTAACTTATATATTCCAGATACTAAACTGTCTACCCTGCTGGTTGGACTAGGGGGTGGTGGTTTACCCCACTTCATACATATGTTTTAGGATTGATTACATGTAACTTATATATTCCAGATACTAAACTGTCTACCCTGCTGGTGGGTCTAGGGGGTGGTGGTTTACCCCACTTCATACATCACTTTTTCCCAAAGGTATGTGTCACTCATAGAGTTCAAGTTTGTAAGAGCACAGTAAATCTCTCAATATGAACACATTAAAGTGGTTCATATTTTTATTTTATTATCTCCGATTGATTCAAATATTCAGAAACATTGAAATATGAGCACCTGCCAATCTGAATATGTTTTACCAGTTTCTATAACAAAAGAACATACAGGACTTACTGTGCATACATTTTATGGGGTATAATACAGACTTGCCAACCTAAAATGAAAAAAATTTCTGTATTTTTACGGGTAAGTATTCCAAAATCTGGTAGTTTTTGCGGGAGTTTTTTTAAAAATGTAGTTTTTGTGGGAGATTTCTTGAAAAAACAAAAATTTTACAGGAGATTCCCGTAAAAAAACAGGACAGGAGGTTGGCAGGTCTGTAATTAGTCCAACAACATTAGACCTAGCCTGGGCCTCGTTTCTTATATGACATGTCTTATGGCCCCAGCTAGGTCTAACCTCCATTATCATTTTGCCCTTGATGAGTTAATTTAATCGTACCGCAGGTTCTGACAAGCGGAACTAATTAAACTCTGAAAACATGGTAATATTACACAAAGAATGTGATTCAAGCATGCATACATACCTTATAAATACATACACACCATCCCGTATCCCCCTTAGACCCTATTGATGCATAATTACGAAAATATTGGAGACAGGTTTGGAATTTTACAAAAATGTCGGTCAGCTCCGGTAACATCGAAATTGCAAATCGTATCAGGAATTAACCGTCATTGCGACACTGCATCAACGAACAGTAGGTTTGCAATTAAGAACTATTTTGTCATTGTGTGTATACAAGCGCTATATAAATCAATCAAAGATACCTGTTATCCTCAAAATTGATCATTTTATCCCGAGTAAATGTCATTTTAGAGATTGGTAAGTTTAACCTCATTTTACTCTTATAAATGAACATTTAATACAATAATATTGTGTTGAATCGCTTGATGTTATGTGTTTTTATATTGTTGCCAAGTATCAGTTGCATGTCATCGCGGAAAAATGGTTTCGGTGGATCCAAAACTTGCATCAAAGGAAAGAATAGTAAAGAGGTTAAACTCAATAACGGCCCCAAGAACATTCTTAATAATGAATAACGCCGTTATTGAGTTTAGTTGAACTAGTCTGTAATACAATAGCACACATTATAAATCAATTCGTTCACATGACATTTTCTTTTTTTATTGATTTATCAATTCACCCCTTAGGGTATAAGAGTATAGAAACACACGTAACTAGTACAGTAACAAACATTAAAATATCCTTTATACAGAGTGGTCCAAAAAAAGTGAACCCCTGCAACAGGCTATATTTTCCTTAATACTTGCATGAATTGCCTCATATTATCACATGTTGTAGAGAAAGGTCTAAAGTTTTTGTTGATGCCATAATTTATTCTCAGTCTTAAATGTTCAAGAAATTACAAGACTTAAACGAACATGCCTGAAAATTAGATTGTGTAAAATTTTACCAACGTAATTCATGGAAATTGTTGAAACATGTTATAGGTATTCTTAAAACAGCTTTCAGTTAGAGATACAAGTTTAAAACCCTACCATATGACAAATGGGATACTATTTGAGCAGAAAACACATTTCACACTTTCATTGATCATTTTGAAGCAGTTTTAATTGTTCAACAGTTAAGGGGCATGTTACCTACACAAATGGATAGAGGGGGGCAAAGTTGCCCCCTTTGACCAGGATTCTGAGAAGCCCTTCATCAAATATCTTTAGATAATCAAAAGAAAATCTAATATTCAATGTTTTGAGCCATAATTCACTAGGATTGGTCCATGATTAATGAAGATATCGACATTTCAAGATCATATAGGGGTATGTTGCGATTTCGCTGGGAAAAATTTTCGTCTATGGAAACTTAGAACATTTCTTTGGATCACAATATCTTTGCAACTAACAGAGGTAGGATGCTAGTTTTTACGCCATAATGTGCGTGATTCAAAACCAAACAAAGTCAGAAAATAATAGCACTTTAAGACTACAGCTAAAAAAATTGTCAGGGGAAGGGCGTTGATGGGTTGAAGAATCGCGGATGTTGAAAATCACATTTTATCCATTTTCAGTAATATTTGGTTAGGGCTTATAATTTCTGCAAATTTCAAGACTAAGAAAAATGTATGGTACCAACAACAATTTTAGACCTTCCTCTATAACATGTGAAAATATGAAAGGATTCCTGAAAGTAATAAGGGAAATATGGCCCGTTGCAGGGGTTCACTTTTTTTTGGACCACCCTGTACATGTACATTTAACATATTACTTATATATTTTTCTTGCCATACACACGTCAACCCTTGCCATTCTTCACAATGTTTTTCTACATCTTTCATCTTTTCAATACATGTACACAAGTCAACCCTTGCCATTCTTCACAATGTTTTTATAAATCTTTCATATTTTCAATACATGTACACACGTCGACCCTTGCCATTCTTCATAATGTTTTTATAAATCTTTCATCTTTTCAATACATGTACACAAGTCAACCCTTGCCATTCTTCACAATGTTTTTCTAAATCTTTCATCTTTTCAATACATGTATGTGTGTTACGTTGCCAGGGCCTGAAAGACTGGTGTCTTATAGGCAGATGTCCGCCTGGGGTCCGTTTTAATTGATATTTCATGTAAGGTTGTACCCAAGACACTATAATAAATTTTACAATTACAATAAAAATATAATACATTAAACTCAGATGACAATTTTTCATTTAGATATGGCTAGATATTGTTGACATTGACCCAGCAATGTTAACTATAGCAACTGAATGGTTCAACTTCCCTAAAGATGACCGACTACAAGTTAACATTGCAGATGGACTCCAATATATCAAGGATCAGGCTGACAAAGGTGAATAATTGTTTATTGAAACAAATTTTACATTTTTCACACCTGTCTTTTGATGCTAGTTTGGTGTCAATTTTAGAATCTTGACAGGCAATCCAAAGTCTTGATTTCAGATTTTCACGAATGAAAATGAAGACATATTCGTTCTTTCGAAATGCTGGATAAAGGACTGTTCTTGGTTTGGAGAATGAAGTTCATCACTCTAATTGAGCATTACTCCTGCTTCCGACTTTGATTTTTTTACATAATATAGATTTGAATGTCTTCGTTTGTATAGTCATAGTTAAATTTTGGTAATATTTCTAGATTTTTACATAAAAAAATAATTAGCGCAGTACACAGATGAACTTCTTTCTCCAAATCGGGAATTGTATTTTATTGAATTGGTCTACTGCAGGTTACCCCTGCTTCGGACAATTGTGATATTTTTACATCTTGTAGATTTAAATGTCCTCTTTTGAATATTCATAATTTAATTTGGGTGATATTTCTATATTTTTCATTAAAAAATGATTAGCCCAGGAGACTAAGATGATCACCGAAAAAGTACATGCGGTACTAACTTCGACCGTTAATTTGAATTTTTGACCTAACAAATGTTTTAAAATCAAGGATTGCGCATCTCATACTGCACCATTTTTCTTCAAAATTGTTCCATTCAAAGCAAAACAAAATTGCCTTTCTGGTGGTGCATTGCTTTATTGTAAAGAGTCCCTCGTTTAAGCAGCCTTTTGGTCCCCAGCTGTGAGAAGCCCTTCTTGAAGAAAAACAGTGCAGTATGAGACTTGCAATCCTTGATTTTCAAACATCTGGTAGGTCAAAATCTCAAATTAACAGTCGAAGTTAGTACCACATGTAACTTTTCGGTGGCCATCTTGCTTTCTGGGTCAACAAGCCCACACTGCTATGGTTTAAGCACGATATTGTTCACCGTATGCCTTGTTTCAAGATCATCTAAGTTTTCAGAAGTTCAGATCTGACTTAACATTTAAGATTTGAACTTCAATGACCTTCTCAAGGTAAATAAAAAAGAAGGTCAAAAAGATATTTTTTCCAACTTGCTTCAAATGACCAATTTCTTTTTTCAAAATCATCTACAAGTTCTCAGAAGTTCTAATCTGATTTTAGATTTGAGATTTTACCTTCAATGACCTTCTCAAGGTCAAAGAAGGGTCAAAAGGTCTTTTTTCAGCTTGCTTCAAAATGACCAATATTTTCAAACTCTTCAACAAGTTCTCAAAAGTTCAAATCTGACTATAGATTTGAGATTTGACCTTCAAAAAAGATTTGACATTCATTGAACTTTATTGGTATTTTTTCAACTTGCTACAAATTAATTTTTTTCAAAATCATCTACAAGTTTTCAGAAGTTCAAATTTGTCTTTAGATTTGAGATTTCACCTTCATGCAATGTCATGTTGCTTACATTCACAATGTCTTCTAGGTGTAAAGCTACACGCTGTGATGTTAGATGTTGACAGCAAAGACAGTACTATGGGAATGAGCTGCCCCCCAAAACCATTTATCCACACAACAATGCTCCAACATATAAAGTCTTTACTACTTCCTGGAGGTGAGAAAGTGTATTTTGTTAAATTGATTGGAATACAGTGATTAAAACCTCCCTCAAAACATGAAAAAGATTCATCCTATTTTAAACAAATTAGACATGTATTCTGAAATATTTAACTAATAAATCCCCTCGATAGTCATTAGATTTCATTAATTTTACATTATTTTTAATACATTTATACATGATCAAACTAATCTTAAAAACAGTATGTGTATTTACATGTAGAAAGATTACAATATCAAATTATGCTCTTTTTCAATTCTGTACCTTCCCAATTATTGTTATCTGAAAGACTCTCAACCATTGCTCTTATACTAGTGTAGTCTTTTACAGCCCTGTTGAAAATATGTATAAAATTTGTTTATACTATAAGTATAAATATATCACTGCATGAGCATATTGATTTATCATATCATTATCTGTTATTGTCTAATTTGAGCTACTTAATTTGGTGATTCTGTATTTTTAGGCCTATTAGCGTCTATTTAATTTGGCAGTTTTCCAAGTGTCCTTGACATTCTCCTATCTAACAAAATTTAAAATACTCATTGTCAGTGTTGTTGATGAACAATTTCTTTAGGCCTAATCTTTTTGTTGTTTATATTTCTTCAATATTTATTGTTGTTTCTATCAATTTAAACGGCCCAGTCATCTTTCTTATAACCAGAAATGCACCAAACAAAAACATGTCAAATTTCCGGGGATTTTGGCGAATATTTAATTTGGCGATTTTTTTAATTCGCCAAAATTTGCCAATTCAAAACGCTCGCCAAATTAAACACAAATACAGTAGTTTCTCTATATCTTTAGCTTATTCAAAGGAAGAGTAGAGACTATAGGTCCCAAAATACAGTGTAAGATTCATATTTAAAGGTCAATTTTCTGTTTTCTTTTTTCAGGAGTGTTCATGTTAAATTTAGTGTGTCGGGAACAGAAATTACGTGAAGAAGCCACCGCAGATTTGAAAACTGTATTTCCTTATATATTGACAATTAACATACCTGAGCAGGTTAATGAGATAATATATGCCTTTCCTGAAGACAGACAAAATACATTGAACTTTGATCTTGGTAGCAAAGGACTTCCCAAGCACATAGCTGGGTATTTGAAAACACTAGTAGAAGGAATGAGAGAATATAGCAAGACTTCATCAGTGCCAAGGTTAACGCAGAAGCTAGATGGTTTACATTTAATAGGATGAATTTCTAAATGAAGACTTCCATTGAAAATAAAAATAAAACTTGATATGTTTAAAAAAAATGTCTGTGTCCATGTCACAATGTAGATACGCAGGATTAAAGTCAATAGACTAGATGCTAATAGATATAATCTTGATTTACGTATACGTTAAATATTCAAAATTCAGTCAAAGTGATGTCATATTTGAAATCTACATGTAAAAGTACGTCTAGAAAAATGGTTTCGAAAATTGTTTATCAACTTTGAAAATTTATTTTTTTTGAAAATGAGACTTCTAGCTTGGGTTGATTCCTCATAGACCCCATGTTACAAAATAACAAAAAGTGAAATATCTTTTCTTATATTGGACAGATAACATTTTCTTTTACTGGACATATTCTAATTTGCATAACTATTAGATACATAAGGATTATATAAAAATTGAACCACAAAAACAGATATAATTTAAGTTAAAGGGAACTTTCTACTATGTTATCTGACCCGAACGAGCCACCTGGTGGCGAAACTGGTAACTACCTACTCGCATCTGCATTATTGTATCCCCATTTTAAGTCAATATACCCTTGATGAAATCCACATTTTCTCTGAAGAACTCAAGTTGATTGACTCAACTACTACAGGGTGGGCCAAAAAAACCACCCCCCTAGCCATTACTTCTGATAAATATTTATTTTTTAACAAGTACACCAACAATGATTTATCATTTTAAAGATAATTTAATTTGCAACAAAATGATATATAATAGCACCATTTTCAACAACCCCATATAGAAATATAACCCATTGTGTGACATGGGGGTCTAAAAACACCTTTTCATTTTTCATCGATTTTGCGAACAATAGCCTATTTCTACCAAATTTTACTGTTCAGTTAAAAATTGCAACATTGTCATGAGTCTTTCATAATTGGATATCATATATTGTTTTCATTCAGTTTTTGAAACATGCATGCTCAATGAACATGTGTATGCTGATAAAACAAATTCATTTCTTCTTCAATCTGTCCAAATATGGCTCAATAGACCCCCCCCCGACCCATCCTCTGATTGGATTATTCGCTTAAAACGCGGAAGCCATTGGTTGATGGCATAATTGATGGATGGATGTGGAAGTACCATTCAACTGCTACATATTCTTTCTTTTAGTTCCTCTACATCCCTGATAAGCTGGGTATCTTTAAATACCAACTGTTCTAGATGCCCCCAGGTATAGTTATCAAAATTATTGGCATCTGGACTGCAAGAAGTAAGCCATTTGTCCAGGCTAGAGATGGTGTCATTTCGAATCTCCAAAAACTCCTGGGAAGCATTGGACCTGTGTGATGAAGCACTTTCCTATCAGAAAATGAAATTTCTTTCACATGTTTTTTATATTCTTGAGGAGTCCTTTTTAACACCTCATGTCATTAACATTCAGAGTATATTTTTGCTCCTGGTTCAACAAAAACAGGGCCTATATGGTGTTTCCTTTTTGGGAAACACCTAGAGGACATCACTACCCTTTCAGAAAAATGTCATCTTGATTTGAGTAGCCTTTTGTCCCAAATGTCCCTATTCTTGCTTATTGATATATAGAGTCTATCCTGTTGATTACATGTACAGTAAAACCTGTCTAATCCGAACACCATTGGGACCGGATAAAAGCGTTCAGATTAGGAGGTTTTCACATTTTAAGGTTTTTGCATTCGCAATATTCCGGATTCTGAAGAAATATGAACACATTCTCAGTAAATATTTATAGTTTTTTTGACAACATAGCTTTATGGCATTCGGGAAATTTGAAAACTAGATTTAAATGAATCTAGTCATGCTGGAAAGCCCCATTAGGAATGACACCATTCAAGATTTTTTCCCAAAGTTTTGATATAATGACAATATTTGAGCAATTTTGTACGAAACATCAGAAATTTTATGAAAAGTGTTCAGATTAGACAGGTGAATTTTTCAAATATGACTGTTCACTGTTCAAATTGGGAGGTGTTCACATTTCAAGGTTTTTTTAACATGGGAGTCAACGGGAGGAAAAAATGGGACCGAAAAAAAGTGTTCAGATTGGGAGGTGTTCGGATTAGCCAGGTGTTCAGATATACAGGTTCTACTGTATATTACTTGGGGCATTTAGAACAGTTGGTCTCTGAAGATCACTAGCCTATCAGGGATGTAGACAAACTGAAAGAATGAATAATTAGGAGTTTGATGGTACTTGAACAGAGATCCATCAATTATACCAATGGGTTTTGCGTCTTTAGCGAATAATCCAATCTGAAGCTGAGTCCGGGGGGTGCATATTGAGCCATATTTGGACAGACTGAAGAAGAAATGAATTTGTTTTATAAGCATACACATGTTTATTGAGCATGCATGTTTCAAAAACTGAATGAAAACAATATATAATATCCAATTATGAAAGACTCATGACAATGTTGCAATTTTTAACTGAACAGTTAAATTTGGTAGAAATAGGCTATTGTTCGCAAAATCGATGAAAATTGAAAAGGTGTTTTTTGACCCCCATGTCACATAAATGGTTATATCTCCAGCCAGGGTTGTTGAAAATTGTTCTATTATATACCATTTTGTTGAAAATTAAATTATCTTTAAAATGATATATCATTGTTGGTGTACATGTTAAAACATGAATTTTTATCAGTGGTAAAAATCCATTTTCTATAGTAAGGAGACATTTGGCTTGCTTTTTAGAACTTTTTGTTAGCTCTGATACTGTCAACACCAATTCCAATTAAGTGTAAAAAAATTTAGCAAGTTTCAGCCATGGTAATTTTTCAAAAATAACATGTCAGTGAAGCATCAAAATGTAACAGTTCATACACTAGCCAACCATAAGTAATCTAATTAGTCTTTTTAACTAATATGTGGTTGAAACAAAAGTGTAAAACAGGGTTTTCTTATATTAATTTTACGAAATTAATGTCGATTTGAATTGAAGTCAATGTGCCTATTTGTAGTGTTTGGAAATTAAATTGTCATACACGAATAACTTATGAATAATTAATCACATGTTAGTCTGAATAATGACATGGTTACAATGGCTATAGTCAACCAACATCTAAATAATGACTCCCAGGCAATAACTTGAATTAAAATTTCATATATAGCCTACTAACAAATTGTTCCAACTACTTTAATCGTCCCATGCGGTAACCATATTGTGCGTCACAGTAAAGGCACTTGATAGCAAAAACGACGAGGCGTAAACACGCGAAATGTCACAACCTGCTATTTGTTACAGCTAGTAGCATTAAGTGCATTCATTGTTTCGATATCCTTATTTGGTTCGTTCTATTCTACATTTACCAATCATATAGTAGTATACAAGTATAAATATATATTTTTCCACGAAATATTGGCAATGCGCTTTCATCGACCGCCTCGTGCCTGGTACATTGGCCACATACGTATAATGATGAACATTGATTAAATTCACTATACTTTTCTCAAAACCCAAATACCCTGGAGATCATTTCGTTCGTATCCAATAAAACGGTCAATAACCTCGAAATTTGCAGTTAAATGTTTGAGTCTACTATGTCCATACCTCCTCAAAGCATTAAACTGCAAGTAGGATGTCTCTTTATGTGTCTCTGGAAGTCCGAGAATAAATAATCCCCCCGGTTTGAGCATGCACCAAACCTGTGCAACAGCTTCCAGATCCCCATATGGATTCAGAGGGTCTCCATAGCGACCTAATCCAGAATGCTCAATTGATGAATACGATAATGCAAAATCGAACTCTTGAAAACTACCATTTGCGTATTTTTTTGCCATATCATATGGGTGGATTTTGGTTATGTTAGGATGAAGGAACGGATTATTGTTGTATTCAAGTGTTGTCATGTGTTTTGCACCAGCAGATAATGCCAATGCTTCAAGCCAGGGTGATTGGGATCCAATCACAACTCCACGCTTGTTACTTATTTCATCTTTATATGCGTCAATTGACTTTTTAGGCTGAGGTACCTCATATGTCCCAATAATCTTCCCAGCCCTATCATCCTTTATTAGTTGTTCAATTGCTTCCTTTGAAAAATATTTCTCTCTGTTGACCTTTGATATTGACTTCTTGTCATTAATGTACCAATAATTCTTATTAGGAAGCTCCCCATTTTGGGTAAACTCATCATATAATTCTGCAGGGATTTTCTTTGGTGGTACCTTTGGAGTTGCTGGATTGAGTGCCATACGTTTCATCATCGAACCACACTTGACATTTTTCCGGATAAATGGATAGTATTTCCCCTTCTCCTCGTCCTTAACTTTATAGCTACAGATCTCACCACACTCTAAAGTAGGCTCATCAGGTTCTGGATAAAGAAAAATAGCATGTATAATACATGAACAAAGGGTTCAATAGAATCAATTTAAAGAAATTCTTTTTGGGGGATCGAGAGGGCAGTGAAAGATGTGCGCCTCACCGGAAAATTTTTCTAGTTCAAGATGCTGTCTGGTTATCTCACTGAACGAAAGCCGTCCGTCCATTCATTTGTCCGGGCGATAACTCAAATACCGGTTGACGGATTAGATTTTAATTTTATAGGCTTTTGCCTTAGGGGGATATAATCTCTGCTTAAGAAGGAATATTCAATGTGGCCGCTCAATTTAAAGTGGCCACCATTTTTCGTAAATAATGAAATCACTCAAGAAGAAATTTTCAAGATGGCTGCTGAGTTTCAAAATGGCCGCCATTTTTCGTAAAAAACAATCTTAAATAACTCAAATACCAGTAGACAGATTTGGTTCAAATTTAATATGCTTATACCTGGGGACAAGAAGAGATTTTCAAGATGGTCCTTATTTATCAAAACATGTTTCGGTCAGTGGGATTTGCTACTCCTTGGAGTTGTTGTTTTCCAGTTATTTATGGGCATTTTTAATATATTTGAGTAAATATGATTTCTGGGCACTTTTAAAGTGTTTATATTAACAAATCACTGGTACTCACCTGACGTATCGTCAGCGTAACAAGATGGATGATCTTCCGGGATTCATTTTCGGTAAGATATTTTTATTTCTCGATTTTAAACCACATGTAAGTCAAGTTGTGGACAATAATTTAGCTCAAAGTTGAGGAAGATAGTCTAATTTGAGAATATGCAGGCGGTTCTATGTTTGGTATATTAACGAAGACGTAATTCACATATTTAGTCCCTCGTTTTTGTTACGCTGACGTAAGATCAATGTTACGCAGATGAAGGTGTGACTTGGAGCTGTTGTTACGTTGACGAACCATATAAACGTTGGCGTATATTGGGCAACAATCATGAATATATAGTTCAACTATTTCAGAGAGTCCTGAAAGTTCTAAAATCACGAGGGTGATGCACTGAGCGTTCTTTAAGTTGTACTCAAACCATTTTACTCGGTTTAGTTATGCCATCTTTATGATAGTGAACCATCAACAATTCCAAAAGTTCATTTTAACATGATATTAGTCATATAAAGTCAGTACATGTCTGTTTTTCATACCACAGGTAATAATAAAAGCAGCAAAGCATAGCATAGCATTGTACTGCACTGAATAGTATAGCATTGTATTGTATTTTATTGTATTGTATTGTACTGCATTGTATTTTATTGCACTATATTGTTACTGTACTCTATTGCATTGTATTTTATTGTATTATATTGCACTGCATTGTATTGCATTGTATTGTATTGCACTGTATTGTATTGTCTTGAATTACACTGTATTGCATTGCACTGCATCACATTGTATTGCACTGCATTTTATTACACTGCATTGTATTTTATTGCACTGTATTGTACTGCATTGTATTGTATTGCACTACACCACATTGCATTGCACTGCGTTGTATTGCAATACACTACACCACATTGCATTGCACTACATTGTATTGCAATACACTACACCACATTGCATTGCACTGCATTGTATTGCAATACACTATATTGTATTGCACTGCACTGCATTGTATTGCAATACACTACACCACATTGTATTACACTGCATTGTATTGCAATGCACTATATTGTATTGCACTGCACTACATTGTATTGCACTACACTACATTGTTTTGTATTGCATTGCATTGTATTGCATCGTATTGCACTGTATTGTATAATATTGTATTGTATCATATTGCACTTCTTTTTATTGCATCATATTGCACAGCATTGTATTGCATCATATTACACTGCATTTTATTGCATCATATTGCACTGCATTGTATTGCATCATATTGCACTGCATTGTATTGCATCATATTCCGTATTTACCTGCGTATTGCACTGCATTGAACTGCAATGTATTGTATTGCACTGCATTGTATTGTATTGCACTACACCACATTGTATTGCACTGCATTGTATTGCAATGTACAACATTGTATTGCACTGCACTACATTGTATTGCACTGCACTACATTGTTTTGCATTGCACTGCATTGTATTGCATCGTTTTGCACTGTATTGTATTGCATCATATTGCACCGCATTGTATTACATCATATTGCACTGCATTGTATTGCATCATATTGCACTGCATTGTATTGCATCATATTCCATATTTACCATTTCAGTTACAGTTTTATTACATAAAATGTTATTCATAATATAATAATTTTCACTTAAAAGATGTGAAATGGCCCAAAATAATATATTTTTAATGGAACCCTTTGCAAGGGCCACTTCTGTTTGTGACAGTCGGTAATATGGATTGTCACCCCTACAACAATACAACACTTAAAATTGATGTGCGTTCAATAGCACTAAGCTTGTTAATATTCCCTGAATGATATTGGAAGTAACTCAAATATCCGTTGATCACTTCGAAAAAGGCAGCATTCATTAGGTTCAATGTTATCTAGTATGAGTGAGTGTTCTGATTTGCTATGCGTGAATTATTTTTTAGTCAATAAGATAATTTCATAAGCGGGGAAGGGGGGCGAATCTTTCTATTTGTTGTCAACAATAAATTACATAGAGCAAATCAACACTTGCTAACTTTTGTTATGTGAGAGAGGGAAGAAATTGGACCATTAAGAAAATACTTTTCGCATTTCCCCAACTGTCGATGATTGGATCTCTTGAAAAATTAAATTGCTTCCCCACGTTTCGACCCGTGCATAACAGGAGGTCCTCAGGCCAAGACAACGCTCTATCAATAACGCTATCAGATCATCCAAAAATATTTGAGCCTCTAATGAATTAAATTGTGAATAGGATGTCAGTTTTGTATTAATATTGGAATGGAATGGAATGCATATATTATAAGAATATATATGAGAATTATTACAAGATTTTGATTCATTATCTCAGCTTTCAGCTTTACAAATGCCCCGGGCACATGCCACAAATCTATGAGCCTGGATCTGGAGCTTTCGATACCCCATGATATTCCAAAGATCAACACTTTCCCTTCGTCAGCGTTACAAAGTGTCTTCGTCAACGTCACATAAGCAATACTCATGCAGATCGTCAACGTTACAAAAGCGAGGGACTTAATATGTGAATTGCGTCTTCGTTAATATACCAAACATAAAGCCGCGTGTATATTCTCAAACTAGACTATCTTCCTCAACTTTGGGCCAAATAATTGTCCAAAACTTGACTTATAAGTGGTTTAAAATCAAGAAATATAAATATCTTAACGAAAACGAATCCCGGAAGTTCTTCAATCTTGTTACGCTGACGTATTTCTCTTTTTATGTGCAAGGGGCAACCCCCTCATTTGACAAGTTCAAAATGTTATTTGATTATTTCTTTGCACTTCAAATGTAATTAACACAGGCTGGTATCGAAAGATTTGTCCGCTGTGACGGAGCATGCTATTTTTCATAAAAACACTAAGAATGCTTCACGATTCATTTTTTAACTCATATGTTTCGTTATATCAAAGATAATTACCTACTCCCTGCAATGGATATATCATTTGCGTGTAACCTTCACTTCTGTTTGAAGTCCAATAACGCTAGGAGTAAAATCTATTGAAAACGGCGCCAGAGTATCAAACTCTAAAATGTACCATTTCTTGTTTAACTTTTTAATGGCATGATATAGTGATACGATAATATTAACATATGTTTTCACCATAAGTCTGAATTTATTAATGAGATATTAATGCATTGGGTCTTTTTAATGTTTTTATAAAAAATAATATTAATATTTTTTGTCCGCTGTGACGGAGCATTTTCACAGTTCACATTTGCAACTGCTCCGTCACAGCGGACAAAAAAAATCAAATATTATTTTTTATAAAAGAATTAAAAAGACCAAATACATCAACATCTCATTTATACCTTCATAGTTATGTTGAAACCATGTGTAAATATTATCGTGTCACTATATCGTGCCATTAGAAACTTAAACAAGAAATGGTACATTTTGAAGTATGATACTCCGGCGCCATTTTCAATAGCTTTTCTTCCCAGCGTAATTGGACTTAAATATTCAAACAGAAGTGAAAGTTACCCGCAAATGAAATATCCATTGCATGCAGTAAGTAATTTTGTATGGTATAACGAAACATATGAGTTAAAAAATAAATCGGGAAGTATTCTTAGTGTTTTTATGAAAAATAGCATGCTCCGTCACAGCGGACAAATATTTCGATACTAGCCTGTGATTAATGGAACTGAATAAAAATATTTCAACTGCTTTGTTTTAAGGGGATGCCTGAACTGGATGGTTTTACAAATTTTTAAGATGCCTTTTCTGGACAAAAAATCACTTTTCATGGAGAGGTCGAGAAGTTGTGGTTCCTCTCTCTCTCGGAAATTTGATCAATCCAAGATACTAAAATTTGTTGGTGATTTATGAACACTTTTAGAGTGTTTGACAATAAATAAAACTGGGAGAAAACAAAGACAAACTGGGAGGGGTGCCAAAGGGGGAGCAATGATACCCCCCCCCCCCCCCCAATAAAAAACGTTGATCATTTCAAGGTGCTATTTGATGATGTTTGGACACTGTCTAAATAAAATAAATTGTTTTTTTGGTAGAGCGGGGGTGGTCCACTTTCTCTAGAAAAATGTTACATTTCCAAGAATTTTACATTTCCATTTTCCAAAAGTGTAAGAGTCAATTAAGAATTAGAAAAGAAATTGAGAAGAAGATATATTTTTAGTTGAAGGGAGCAAAATGTGATGAGTATTAGAATGAGTTTCTGAGATATGGCTCTATTTGCATTATTTGTTAATAGCCCCTTGTAGTGAGGCAGAAATATTGGAACCAATCGTTTTCTTCGGATTACAATGTTTTTTAAAACTTTTCAAGGGTTGGGACCTCTAAACCGCCGGATGTCGGAGAGGTACCATTGGACAACTCTTTATACAGCAATTTTTATAAAAATAAAAATATCCATATATTCTTCAGATTAAGAATCATTAATAGTGCTCTTTTACTGTTGCTATAGCTATGGATTAAGATCAAGCATTATACTAATCTAATTCCTGAATATTTCAAGGCTATGTTTTTATAAGTGCCAGAGACAAAGGTCGCTTTTAGTACCCCTTGTAGATATTATTAGGGGTTGTGAAATATACTCTGGAGAGAGTTGCCCAAGAGTGCCCGATCTTCATGCTGAAAAGTTTTAAAAAATAATCCGAAGAAAGCCTTCAAGTTTCTGCCGGACTCCGTAAGTTGTTCTTGAGAACACATATGGAGAGACGTTAAACGTGAACAGATTCTGAATTTTAGAATTGTCTTTAATTTCTCAAATAACATTTTCTAATGAAAAGGCATAGAGCTGAATCGAACCCATCATGCATCGCATAGATCTCTAACTAGCTGTGTTCGAAAAATAATGAATATAGTTACCGCTTGTAATAATGCGTTGTATTTTCCGAATTACTATCTCTTTTGCATTTTCCAGTTTAGTCGGGAATCTCGAATAACTCCAATATCCTAAACATGTCAAAAAGCATACCAGAATTAGAAAATAAAATTTAGTCGATGACTGACTTAAGAAACTCATACTGGCTGCTTTTTTCCACGCAGTTATAGTATGTGATTCCGCCTGAATTCTCAACATATGCGCTACATGGGACGCTAAGTGATTGGTACCTCTCACTGCCCGGAATTTTATCTGGGTAACCCGGAATTTTACCCCCTAACCCGGTTAAAAAGTTCTAAACCCGGAAAAATCATCAAAAATTTAACGAAAATTATTTTTAATTGCCCGGAATAAAATTGAACAAAATTGACGAAATTTTGCAGCCCGGAAAAATTACGGTGAATGTTCTATGTGCGAATGCTGCCACTTTTGCAAAAAGTATCTCTCCTTTTTGGACCCGGTTACTAAGAATAAATGACGAAATATTTTCGCAGACCAACATCATTACGTTCAGCTTTTACCATATGAATTAGCTAGCCACAGAGTATGTAGCACATCATTAGAATCAAACGTTCAGGTATAAATTAAATGTCCCATCGATTGCCAGAATATTGTGGAAATGCTGACTGATAACATAACATACGTTTTTTTGTTATGATTCGAAATAGTTAGCCACATATACAGTACACCATTAGAAAGCTTATTTTGTTTTCTTTAATCTCCTTTCAAGCAGAAGTGGCGATCGTTTAGGGATTCATTGAATGTAACACATTGAACTTTAATAATCATAGATGACATTTACGTTTATTCCAGACTGACACTACATGAGTGTACAAGCACCTTATCATTATTAATCATTATGAATTAAGACATATATTCCAAATCATTACACATATTTCGTCAAGAAATAAAGTCCAATGCGTAACATGCATGCTTGATATTCTCTTAACGTTTGATTTAATTCTGTTTAAAATTAGTTTGAAGAAGAAGGTTTGATTTCAATCTGGAATAATTGAGACAGAAGAGTATAATATAGGCTCTCTAGTGGTATACTGTATGTAAGGCTAGCTATTTCAATTCATAACAAAAAAGCTTCACTAGCGTTGTCAGAGTGCGTTTCATTTGATTTCTCACTCCCCGAAGGTTTCAATTCTGGTATTATTTTTATTTTTATTTATTTATTTAGATATACACTTTTTTAACAGTGGCACTCTTACATTAAGGTGCATCTAATCGAAAGTATCCACAATGCCATGTTGGTTAAAAACGGAACATTTTATCAAACTAAAATGAGTCTTAAAAAGAATTAAAACATAGGTATGTTAATATTTACTTAAAATCTTATTTAAAAAGCTTTTTACTAAAGAGTTACTAGAACACCATATTCGTGCCCCCCAAAGATGTATGCCTCATCTTACAGTAACCACTTCAGTTTTGTGTCAGTTGGGGCGCTAAAGAATATCCCTGTTAAATGTATGGGAATTTTATCCTCAAGTATTTTATAAAATTTGGTATAATGGAGATAACAGTATCAAACAGCTTAATTTAATTCAATTAAAAAATACAAACTCGGATTTTTTATTCAAATTCAACCGGGATCTTTTTTCAAACAACCTGGATAACCCGGATTTTCTAAGTGATCAACCCGGAATTTCAAAATATTTATGTTGAGAAGTATGTGTAGACATAAACGACTACATCATCGCAGTACGTTATTTTTTCAATATCTATTCTTAGTGAACAAATAGAAATCAATGACTTCGTCTCGCTAACGTTCCAATACACTGTTTGAAAGCTGACATTCGATATTTGGTGGTTGCAAATGATTAATTGCACATGATATGAAACTAAGCAGTTGTAACAATAACCAAAAACATGATGTTTTGGATAATCCATAGTCACTTCAAGTATATGTTTAACTTAATTGTATATCATTGACAAGATGCTATACAGATGCTCTTTCTAAATTCTTTCTTTTAAATCAATTCTTTAAAATTAATTTTAGAAACGTGACAAGAGAAGTAATGACCCGAGTAATCCTACCTTGAATACAGATTCTATTTTTTCCACAAAACCAGACAATTCAATGATAAAGGTATGTTTATGAATATTTTAGATTGCAAAATAGAACATCATCTTGCAACTAATGACCACATTTTATACTTACCACCATGACCAAAATTGCTTTCGCATCGAGGCATACCTGTTGCTTTTAAAAAATTACATTTTTAAATTTTTTCCTTACCTCTAAACATCAAAAGATAAAGGGCTGACACTTTCCATTGAGTCCCATACATCATTTTTCAAATAGATTTTACAGTCAAGCCAAGTAACTAAGTCAACATTCGAAAATAAAAAACTCAAAAATAGTACATCTTTGATTTCCAAAATAATTTGTGAGGTGGTTATTAAGATGATAATACATCTTTTAACGTATTAATTTTGAGTACATCTTGAATCCATTTTCAACAAAGCGTTGTCGAAATAAGGATTCGAAATATTTGAGTTCGGGATGATAAAAGTACGTTAAGATATACCGCTCCTTAACAAACTCCTTTGGGAACAAGATATAGAATCAAATGCATATTCTTCTTATTTACTCCCTGACACATGCCAACGAATGTTACATAAGTTAATATTTCCGTTTTAATAATTTTATAAACGTTGTTCTCTACAGGTGCCATTTTTTATAATTGAAAAACAAAATTGAACGTTTTGCATTTCTAAATTGATAAGTTTCTTGGAATACAACTTAACTGTTAACGATTTAAGTCATTAATAATATTTCCCTCAGTGATCCCATGCTAAATAGACAGTAACTAGGTTATTATTTTGTGTTCAACCTTGTTTTCATGACTTTAAACATGAGTCGACAATTATGTAGGAAATTTCAATTCCAAATGTAAGCGTGTCAACTCCTGTTTTTGCACAAAATTTAGCCTTTTATAAAGATAGATCGCCAAAATCTGCATGTACCTCTCAATGAGGCGACACGTTTTTAAATTTATAGATGCTGAGCTATAAACTCAAACAAAAATTCAAACCACCCGCTATTATTTTGATTACACTAGACGAAATTTCCACTCTCGGGGAGCACTGTGGTAACACTTTGAAGGAGGATTCTTGAAAAATCGTTCGAATTTTCACAAAAGGTTTCACGCAATTTTATTGCTTTGTTTAAGCCTCAACTAAATTCATACTCAAATCCGATACCATAATTATAAATCAAAATGAAACATTAAACTCAGGTCAGGTTATATGATAAACCGTTTCGAGAATTGATGATTTGAGTTAACTGTGTATATTTAAATAAATGTAAGTCGGCATGTATTCGACATTTAATGTAGACACATGATGTATGCATCCACGTGCGTGACTTAAATATCGATTCATGACTATCATTTTTGGCTTTCAAAAATTAAGTTGGAAGTTACAGTGGTTGGAGATTAACGAAAACGTCAATCACATCCGAATATCCGAACGACGTCAAGTATTTACAATACCCTTTCTGTGCATCTCGAACAAGGCAAGGTTCTGTGATCCAGCAATGTGTATTCCGAAAGAAAAAAATCACAAATATCAACAAATTTTATTGAGTTGGATATAACATTCGAAATCACAACTTTCGAAATGTTTGTTTTAAACAAGAATTGTAAGAACTTAAAACATGTTGTTAGTTTTTCAAACCGCATATCCTCATTTACGTTCTTTGACAAGGATGAATTCATTAGAAAACATGGATTTTCTTGATTATTCTTCAAAACTACCCTTGAAATATAAGTATGTGGGATATTACAGTGTAAATTGACACGCATTTGTTTCCTCCATATCATGAGAAAATAAATGCAGTACCATCTTTCAATATTTGGAAACAAAAAGTTCATTATGTATGTAAACAAGAAAAAATACATTTATGGTTGATTCATAATGAAAAATGACAAATAACATACATCTTTTTAAGTAGGGGTATACAGGGACATAGTGGAAATTCAGAAATTTAGGCCATATCCCAAAGACTGCTTCACCAATATGTAACAGAACATCAAAGGACGATTCTCGGTTTGGAGAACAGTCTCCTGGGCTAATAATTTTTTTTATGAAAAATATAGAAATATTACCCAAATTAAACTATGAATATTCAAAAGAGGACATTTAAATCTACAAGTTGTAAAAATAAAAAAATTGTCTGAAGCAGGGATAACACTCAATTAGACCAATTCAATAAAATACAAGTCTCGATTTGGGGAAAGAAGTTCATCAGTGTACTGCGCTAATATTTTTTTGCGAAAAATCTAGAAATATTACCCAAATTAAATTATATCTATTCAAAAGAGGACATTCAAATCTATATTATGTAAAAAAATCAAATTTGTCCGAAGCAGGGATAATGCTCATTTAGATTGATGAACTTCGTTCTCCAAACCGAGAATCGTCCTTTATCATTTACACGTTTGCTGATAGGTTTATTGAAAATAATCAAACAGAGGTTTACTTCAATTGTGGCACCATTCTTAGTTAATACTGATGAACATACGAATATCGAATGTTGACTAAGTAACTTGGCTTGACCGTTTACTGAACCTTTTTTTAATTTATGAGTACATAATTAAGTCATTGCCTATTAGTATTTTTAATGTTAGATGTGAACCATCGTTGCGTTTCAGAAAGATGAAGCTAGACCTCCCGTAGAAGCGAATCCATCCAAGGGTGACTAGTGAAGCTACTATGTCTAAGTCTCACTTCACCACAAAGGAAGTTCCCTCCAATGAGGCTACTTCCTCCAAGTCTTATTCTGTAGTTGACTCATCAGGACCTCAATCAACATCTTGCTTCACTGTAGGTAATGTCATAGAAGCTGCCAAGACAATGTCTGATTGTTCAACTCTTTGTGATGACAGTAGCAATCAAATTTTTGCGCATTTCTCCTTAAAGATTAAGCAAGAATTTTTAAGACAGTCGCAATTAAAAAAACTTCAGTCATCACATTGTAAAAGAAATATTAGCAATGAAAAGAACAGAAAAATGGACAAATTAAGAAAAAGAAGATGGAGGGAATCAGAAGTGTTGAAGAAACATGAGAATAGAGCACAAAAAATGTTTAAAAGGGAAAAAAGAAAAGATGAGGAGTATAGAACAAGTGAGTGTCAAACTGAGAAGACATTCAAGAAAAAGAAGAGAGAAAATGAAAAGTATAGAATAAAGGAGCAGCAAAATGAGAAGACATTCAGGAAAAGGAAGAGAGAAAACGAAGAGTATAGAACAAGTGAACGAGAAACTCAAAAGAGGGAGGTGGGAGACCTTCATACATCTTCCAAGATGTCACAAAAGGTCTAGCAACCAAGTATGGAGTCAACATTGGTACAATCAAGCAATGCCCATATGTATACAAATATGCTTCTTCGACAAGTTTGCTGAAAGTGTAGCCCCTCTCTATAGGGAAAACCTCTGAACAAGGAAACTTTCTTCCAGTCCCAAGAGCATTCCCTGTTCGCAGGTTTTACTGTACGTTTTTTGACGGACATCGATATTTTGACCCGACCCCTAATGTTTGATGAATATCAATACTTGCACCCACGAACTAATGGTCCGACGACTTATGGTCACTTATTATACTGATCAACTCCTATCAAAAATAGTTTAAGTAAAAGCAGGATGAAAATATAAAAAGTTTCATTACTTGAGATTTAATCTGCTTGTCACAAACGATGCATCTCTTCTTAGACTTTGTAGTCATGAGAAAGGGGATTTGTATCTTCATAGATGGATTATCTGTTTTTCACCTTCATCTGCTGGTTGGGGAGGGTTACAAGGAATGTTTTTGGGTCCTGTGAGTTTAATCCGGCATTTGTAACATACGAGTATAACTGAATTATCAGGGGGATCTTTGTGATATTTTTCTTTCCATAATTTGCCAAGAGTGTTAGATTTAGTTACTTTTCTCCTAGAGATAGCTGGACTTTGTTTATCACATCTAACACAACGGTACGTTTTGATAGGTGGCAGTGTGTCCAAAATGGTGGCAGAAATGCTTTAGAAAAAATACCAAAGAAGTCCAAAAAACTATATGAGCTGTGTTCTCCACCACTTTTTGCAACTGAAAATGTTGCCTTATTCAATTTCGGATCTGTACAGCTAAAAATAAAAGTGGTGGAGAACACAGCTAACAGTGAATTTGTCCATTCAATGAACCATGGTTCATGTTCAATATTGAGACGGGTAAATAATAGGGGTCTGGATCATAATCCCTTTTTATGCCACATATCATGCATCAGCACACATAAATCTGCTGGATGCATTTCAGTAGGGATTACATTATACATAATTCACTTAAATACTACTTGAAAATTGTTTTTAAGGCTTTATTTACTACATTTTCTAAAGAACACTAAATTTCACAAATAATCTGCCATGATGGGAGTGGTTACAGAAATTGGCCAGAAATTATATTTTTTACAAAAATATTCACTATATTTTTCAAGAAAATGAAAATACACATATCAGTCAAAAAAAATTGAATTTTTTTTCAAAAATCTAAAATTGGGTTTTAATGAAGATCCCAATAAGACTGTAACTTTGCCAGCATAGTATTGAATAGACTTGAGTGTAATGATTCCCGTTGAAACCAATGTGTTATTGCAAATTTCCCGTTCTAAATACGAAACTCCGCTATGATTCTTTAAGAGTCGCGAGCAAGTTCCCACTGAAATCGGGAGCATAGTCAGATACATGTAGTCCTGTTTATTTGTATCACTTTGGAAAATGGACCAAAAGTATGAAATTATTTATTACCGGTCTTTGATACTCAAGCAATACTTTGAAAACAGATATATTTGACAAACAATGACATGAAAAATGATTCTTTTCACTGTCATGGAAGAAAATGAGTAAAGGGCGTCAACATGCACGTTTGCATGATTTACAGTTCATACATATATTACTTTTATCGTCAAAATAAAGGCAATAAATACGATTTACATACTCCGTAATAAATATTGGATCAATATGGTATGTATTGATAAGTTACTATACAATTACTCCTGCCATGGGGTTCGAAATACATCATCAATAGTGTTTCAGCGTAGTGGCCCCGCTGATCCGCTTCGATCGCGAGGAAAGCTTCATTGTTATTCCATGAAGATATTGACCTTCTTATTATGAATGTACATGACGGGCGTGCCAATCACATATTACCTCATTCTTTGGAAACATCGCAAATATTTTTTCTGCAACTTCAGGCAGTTCGATCAATCTGTCAGCGTGGTGCGTTCGTCCGACCTTCCGTTCATTCGTGGGTGCGTGCGTTCGTCTGACCGTCCATTCGTATGATCGTGCGTTCGTCCGACCGTCCGTTCGTCGTGCGTGCATTAATCCGATCTACCGTCCGTGTGTGCGTCAAACCGTCAGATCGTGGCAGCGTTCATCCGACCATCCATTCGTTCGTTTGTTCGTCCCAACGTTCGTTCGGGGGTTCGTCCGTTCGTGCGTTAGCGCATGCGTGCGTTCGTTCAACTTTCGATTCGTATGATCGTGCGTTCATCCGACCGTCCGTTCGTCGTGCGTGCGTTCGTCTGGCCGTTCGTTCGTGCGTGCTTGCGTTCATTCGACCGTCCGTTCGTTCGTGCGTGCGTTTTTTTGTCCATCCGTTGGACCATTAGTTCGTGGGTGCATCCGTCCGAACGTCCGTGCGTGCGTTCGTCCGGTCGTTTTTGTTCGTAAATATTTTTCTGCGTTTGTTTCTGTGTTCGTTCGTCCGCACGTTCATCCATGCATTCGTTCGTGCCTGCGTTCGTTTGCAATTTCTTTTGTTTCTATCTTTCTTCGTGCGTTCATCCATCCGCCCATCCGTCCATTTGTTTACTCATTTTCAGATGTCCTAATTAACAAATAAATATATTCTCTGCAAAGATAGTAAACTAAAATAAGTTAGAAGAATGATCACAAGTAAGAGGAAGGAACCAACGGAAGACAACATAAGAACACCAGTAAGGGGAGGGGGGGGGAGTTTTCTGGCCGGTTGAAAACTCACCTACGTGCATTCTCAAGTCTGTCGACCCTGAAGAAAGGATAATTTCCTACATCATAATCAAAGACAAGACAATCAAGACAGAGAAAGAAGACAACAATTTCAGACACCGATGCAGCAGCAACAAATGACATCCATCCATTCTTTCCTTGTTCATTTGTTCGTTTGCAGGTTTTTCTCAAAATATGTCTTTCCACTTGCTATACAAAAGTAAGTAATCAAACGAGCAAGAAAGCAAGCAGACAAGGGAAGTAACTAAGCAAGCAAAGAAGTAATTAAGCAAGCAAGTAAGGAAGGAATAGAGGAAGTAATCAAGGAAATGATAGTGGAAGTAATAGTGGTAAGGAAGAAGGACAGAAGGAAGGAAGGAAGGACGGGGAAAAGGAAGGAGGGGAGGAAGAAGGAAATAGGTAAGAAAGAAAGGAAAAGGGAAGAAGGTATAAGAAAGTGCGTCGAAAGGAAGGGAGTTAGAAGTTAGTGGGGAAGGAAAAAAAAGAAGAAGGTAAGAGAGTTAGTATGAAGGAACAAAGGAAGGGCGTAGGGGAGGAAGGAAGGAGGGGAGGAAGGAAAAGAGTGAGGAAAGAAGCGGTATAGAAGAATCTATGAAAGGAAGGAAGAATCTAAGAAATAAAGGAAGGGGGAAGAAGGAAGTGAGGGTAAGGATATAAGTAAGAAGGAAGAGAGAATTGAAGAACGGTAGGAAGAAAGGTAGTAAGTAAGTAAGGAAAGAAGGTAGGAAGGAAGGAAGAAAGGGAGGAAAGAAGTAAGGAATGAAAGAAGTTAGAAAAGAAGAAAGTAGGAAAGTAGGAAGGAAGAAAAGGAGGAAGGAAGGAACGAAGGGGCGAAAGAAGTTGGGCCTGAACGAATAAAGGAAGTAGGAAGGAAGTGAGCAAAGAATGAAGTAAGGATAGAAGGAAGTAAGCAAGGAAGGATGAAAAAATGAGTGCGTGAGTGAGCTAGTGGGGGGGGGGTCGGTGAGTGAGTATGCAATCTGGCAACAGCACGTTGTCACGGTGACGAAGGACAAATGATGATCTTTGGAATGTCATGGGTATCGAAAGCTCCAGATCCAGGCTCATAGATTTGTGGCATGTGCCCGGGGCATTTGTAAAGCTGAAGCTGAGATAATGAATCAAAATCTTGTAATAATTCTCATATATATTCTTATAATATGTGCATTCCATTCCATTCCAATATTGATACAACACTGACATCCTATTCAAAATTTAATTCATTAGAGGCTCAAATAACTTTGGATGATCTGATAGCGTTATTGGTAGAGCGTTGTCTTGGCCTGAGGACCTCCTGTTATGCACGGGTCGAAAAGTGGGGAAGCATTTTAATTTTTCAAGAGATCCAATCATCGACAGTTGGGGAAATGCGAAAAGTATTTTCTTAATGGTCCAATTTCTTCCCTCTCTCACATAACAAAAGTTAGCAAGTGTTGATTGGGGGGGGGGGGTGTATAGAGGGTCTTGGAAATGCATATACAATATTTTTCAGCTCTCTTATACCATATACAATATTTTTTCACCATATACAATATTTTTCACAGCTCTTATACCATATACGATTTTTTAGGTGAAATACAATATACGATAATTTTGAAACTGCTTTTGATTAAAGTTTGGATATTTATAAGGAAATAATATTATATTAGGAGAGAATCCATGTACTAAAGTAAATGTATTATTTTAAGGCAACTAGAATCCACATACTTACCACAATGATTTCATTTATTTCATTATGAATTAGACACCATTCGGGTACATCAGCATCAGAAAAGCTGTGACCACATTTTATTTTCAGGTAAACAAGTTGATTTAAAACACATTTATGATATAAGATTCATGACTTCTCTTTAGTGATTTAGCAACCTATTTTGACCAAAAAAACTAACTATGATATTGCTGCAATTTGCTAAAGCCATTAGCCCATTACCTGTAAAAGTACCATAAAGATATTCAAAATTAGCACAAAACCTGCATCATTGGAATGGGTGGAACCCAGTGCTCCTCTTTCTTATGACCTTCTTTCCCATGACTTATTTAAATGTCCTTCATAGTGAGCCAGGGAAAAAAATTCTTGAAACATAATTGATGCAAAATTAGGCGATCAGCTTCACCCCAAAATTTAGCTTATCGGTACCAAGTTAGGGGAATAATGCTCATAGTGATTTTTGGCAAGGTAAATACCTCCAGAGTAAGAAAATATGTGATAGCATTGCAGGAGTGGTAGCTTATGGGTGTTATCACCCATTTTTCAAAATGGCTGCTATTGCGCTTTTTACCAAATAAAAGAAATCATATCTTAGTATAATGAGAGG